TCAGAACAAGGAAATAAACAGTAAACTGCTATCATTTGGATTGGTCATAGTGCCAATGTTTACACTTTCAAAGCTATATAATTTAGAACTTGTTACAAATATTTCATCAAAATTGACTAAAGGTATGCTAAATTTTCAGGTTATCCCCAGACAGCTTTTTTTTGTCCTGCGATCTCAACAAGTAGGACACGCCAGGCATTGTATATTTACACCATTGAAATTCATCATGTTTATAAAAAGTCCACAACCCTTACACATTTATCCCCTGGACCAGTTAAACATGTCGAGTTCATACTTTAAGGTGAAAAACAAAACAAAAACAAGCCTTGGCATCACTTGGGATACTGAATGGTTTTATAACCATTATTATGCGAGTTCTGAGCCATGCAAATAAAGATACATGGGCTGATGGTGAAGGAAGATGGAGAAACAGGTTTACTTACTATGGTCTGTTGTGGCAAGACAGGCAGCCTGAGTGAGGGCAGGGTGTATGATGTCCTGGTCAGAACAAATACTGTGGGTGGTGTCAGCAGCACTGCTGCTACACTGATTCACCTCCTGATACAAACCAAACAACTCCATATCAAAGAATGATGATCAAGATAAAGAAGAAATGAGCATGATAAAGAACATAGGGATATCCTTACAGCTTCCATTTACTTAGCTCAACAAACTTCAAATTATCTTAAATTTAGTTCAAGCCTTTTCCAATCATTGTCAACACATTCATGGCCATCAAATCCTTTAAATTGTCCACTTCAGAAAAGTATTCCATTAATAATGCTAATCAAGATAAATAGGAACACCTCAATCCACAATATATCAGCTCCTTATCATGCCAATATAGAAACTGAAACTGATCATGAATACACAATGCCATACAGATTGTACAGATTCTCATACTTTTATGGGTTAAGTCCCGTCCGGGATTCAAACCCACACTTGCCAGAGTGAGGCACCAAATCGCCAGCACTGAAAGTCAGCGATCTAACTGATCAGTGATACACATGTCACTTATTCTTGTTAAATCCAGTGTTCATTACAAGTAACATTACAATGTGTGAAAACAAAAACCCAAAAGCCCATTCAAGCTAGTGCGAATTCAGTTTGACCAAAATGCCTAATGACCTAGACAGTTCTAGGTCCCGTTCTACAAAGCGATGACTGTCGTAAGCCCACGTTGAAGACAGGAGTTATGATTGACATAGCTCTATGATCGCTGTCGAAGATGGTCTTGGCTGATTTGTCATGGTTGTCAGATAATGCATAACCCTTAAAAATGGCACACTTCTACAAGTCCTTATCATACCTTAACTATTGGGCACATTAGCAAGAACTATAGGACCAGTGCCAATTTCTAAAGCTGCTATGTTTGCATGACTCAGTACATAGACTACATACTGTCTTAACAGATGACTTACTTGAGCAATTTGTATTTGGAAGGTTGTTTGTGGATTTCTGAAGTGTGTCTTGTAATGTTTGATAGCCTCGTCTCGTCTGTTGAAGCCATTTCTACACTTGTAACAATGCCAGTGAGCTCCTTTGAACTTCTTTTCTCCCTTTATTACACCAACAATATCACAGTGGTCACAACATCGTAACACTTTCAAACCTGAAATTTATAATAATTAAGTTGCTTGGTAATGTGAAAACCCATGACTAACCAACAGTTTACAAAAAGTACTGATACATCATCATGGTCAGAAGTGGCTTTATAAACACTAAAGTAAGTAAGTCAATCAAAAACTGAATGAACTTGTGGCAAAAAATTACACAGTAATCAATGGCCTTTTTTTTATATCCATTGATCATTCATGAACAGTGCGCAATTTGGTTAGCAGTTTGCAAAATTAATTAACCTAAAACTAGGCTGTCACAGCCTTTCACTAAAAAAAACATAATAATATTCTTTCAGCTTAGTCAATCTTTTGAAAGGTTCCCTAACAAAAGAAACATGCATAAGGACATGATTGAACAGAAAATGTTGCTAATTTTATGGAACATAAAAACATGTTTCATGGCAATTCACTGTGCAAATAATTACAGCTTTAACATAGAATACAGTTCTAACAGGACCATAATTATTATAAACATGATGACTTTAGATTTGGCACTTATTGTGAAACTTTGTAAATATTACTTTTTAAAAGTCTACAATGTCCACATAAGACTAAAATATGAATTGACACATGGATAGACGTATTGCGTATTGTTTGGTGTAAAGCCAGCATACATAGATACATTGGTAAACTTGTCACCCTTTACAGGTGCAGATATAATAGGGGTGACAGATACATGTACATGACCTTGACAAAGGCCATAAGTAATCTAACCAGGATTACATAACAAAAATAACTGCTAGTTTTTTGGTGGTTTGTGAAAAGAAATTTACCTACCAGCAAACTCAATTCCTTTGTCAACATGCTTGACTCTGTAGTGAGCTTTCAGTATGACGGGATCCTGGTATGAGTCGGACTTCACACAGAAAGGACAGTGCATATGTGGGGTCTTGTTGTTGCATGACGTGTCTTGACACACACTGGGGGAGTAGTTGTTTTCAGTGCCCTTGATTCGAACGCTTGGATGTGTCTAAACATATAGGTCAACCACTCAGAAAATATTATTCATGTTCAACAATCATAAAATTAAGTGTCACAATTTTTGCACCTACACTGTTATGCATCAACACTTAAATTACACAACAATCAGATGCACTATTGCAAACTACAAAAGCTATGAAAATGGAATAGGAAATTTCCAAGATTTAATAAGTATTGAAAGGATATCCTTCTATCAACTGTCTAAAAACATTAATATAATTTGAAACAGACAAATGTTAGGAAATGAATAGATTTCCTCATACTCCACATGGATGTTAACCATCAATTGACATATTATTATTTGTTTTCAAAATAGCTCAGACAATCTGTTAACAGTCACAGGTCTTCAGCAACCCATGCTTGCCGTAAAAGGCGACTATATATGTTTGTCGTAAGAGGCGACTAAAGTGATCGGGTGTCAGGCTCGCTGACTTGGTTGAAGCATGTCATCGATCCCAACTGCGTGGAGCAATGCTCATGATATCAATCACTGGATTGTCTGGTCCAGACTCAATTAATTACAGGCCGCCATCATATAGCTGGAATATTGCTGAGTGAGGCATAAAACAACAATCCAACCAATCACAGCAAAGTGTTTAAAATACTATTAAAAAAGTAGTTAAAAGTATGTTATACAGTAACAGAGATCCAGAAAAGCTGCGCATCTGCGTAAAATATGCATCAGAAATGCAGAAATACGCAGTAAAATATATCCAAGCGTATCAAATACGCAACGAACATTACAGATACGCTACAAAAATAAAACTTGTGTGTATATTCAAAATATTGTGAAGTAACCCTGCGTATTCGATTGGCAAATCAGCAACTTATTTTGAAATTATAAACGGGCATTCTGTCAACCTTGCCAACCTCCACGATGACAGTTACATCATGATCATTTGCCATCACACTTTCTTGTGGAGGTATCGTGGTATTTTTGAGTCCTATAAAGCTCTCGAACCCACACAACACCAGTTTGCAGGGACTAGATGAATAGTGTTTTTAAATATTTAACTTAAATACCCACATGTGTAAAAACTAGTGGGTAACAGAAATTTGAATACCCAGATAGAATAGCTGATACGCAGTGATTTTAAAATGCATGGGTAAGATACCCACAACACCAAAAGCTTATCTGGAGCTCTGCAGTAACCATGCTAGTCACTAGTGCAAGACCATTCAGGTAATGGTAATGATGAGCTTTTCTTGGCTGCTGAATCCAAAGTTGCTGATGTTGCGTTCTACTTCATAGCTTAGTATTAGACAAACTTTTTATTTGAATTACTGCTACAACTAAAGATCAATCAATAAATAACATCAGATTTTGCACCTATTGAACAGTTCTGTTGGCGCAAAATCTGATGCTATCTGTTGATTGATGATGTCATAATGTTTGTATATGACACCCACAAGGCCCTTTTCGCCCAATGCCTGTGAATTACTTTCGCAGTACACAAAGATAATAAAAGTAAAAGCTGTATTTATAAAACAGAAATTCAACATTTTCACATTACTTGAGGTTGTCACTGAGAATTTGTGGCCATGTAATATGTTCAGCTATGAAAACCCTAAAACACATGATTAGCATTTATCCACACAAGTTACAGATTCTTGTTCGCCCCTGACTTGACTAGCCTACTAGTACACTTACAGGCCGTTGTGATACACCTGTACACATTGTGACATTGCTGATTGTGTCATAAATCAGGATTTACTCAACATTCCTACTCATTCATTTTCATATTTTCACACTTTTCATTTTCCATTCAGAAACTTGCTTTGGATTTTCAGGCAGGTCAAAGTCAAGAATACTTTTTGGTCATACAGAAAAACAAAATTAAGTTCACTTAACACGATATGCACGCTCCTACCGTTCCATGAAAGTTAACCCATCGATAACGTAAGTGCCAAGCATAAAATATATGTATTAAAAGTTATAAAATGAAATTGACTTGGAAAAAAGCGTCTGCTACAAACATTGAAACTAACAGTTCACAAATATTACAACCAAAATGGCGCTGATCATTTTCAAAACCGTTGTTGGTGACACCCTGACTTACAACGAATGTCAGTGGATTCATCTTGCTGCAGTGGGTTTTCTGTAGTGTCACATTCGCTTTGATCTGATTTGTCGCTTCTGTTATACGGGTTGCAATTTGCTCTTCCCTCCGTGCACCTTTGTGTAAACGTCATGAAATGTTCAGTGGTACTTTCAATGACGTCACGTCTTCTGCCTGCTTTTAACTTCGGGTTGCTCCGTAAAGATAATTATTATTACGGAAGTGCTCGTGGATTGGCGGAAACAGCCGATATATAACGAAGACCGCTGCACAGACAGAAGTTGACACTTCCGCGTCCACTTGTCTGTAAAAGGTAAACAATGAATCCCCATTTGTCGCCGCGTCAGTCTGTCAGTAGTTAAAACAGGATGGTTATGAAACATGAACAGTGATACTTATTATCTCAAATCATATGTTAATATATTTTGAGATATGCAACAGTTTGAAAAGATTGCAAGAGACAATGCCGGGGAGTCACTTTAGCTCCCGACACTGCATGTGTACAGAAGTGAATCCTATTGGTGATGTTGAGAAAGTATTTTGAGGCATGTTTTCTCAACACTTCAAATAATAAGGGTAGCATCACTTTCAGATGTGTAAAGCGTCATTGTCACAATTTGATCTTCTATTTTTATGGATAGTTTTGATTGATTCATCGTGATCAAGGAGACACATTTAGAAGAAATCAATAGAATAGCACTTTGCTTCAAAGTCCAATGACCGATAGCCTACAGAACAGATTATGAAAATACTGAGGTGGATTAAGTTATGAATTCGACAAGTTCTTAAAAAATATTTTATACAATCAATGGTAAATTCATATTTGAGCTTTCATTCTCAGAATGACTTGCACATCTACATAGATCTATACCTTCTGTGTTGAAAGTGCTTTTTTAACTACAATGTCAATGTGGAATCGAGTGCAATTTTCAAAGAGCTAAACTTCATAGATTAACAGGTAGTGAAATGTCGGGTGATGAACATTTTGTTTGGATGGGTAAAGCAATGGAACTTGCCCACAATGCTTTGAAAAATAGAGAAGTTCCTGTCGGTTGCATCATGGTGTACAAGGACGAGGTGATCGCTACTGGCAGGAATGAGGTCAACGAGACGAAGAATGCTACCAGACATGCAGAGATCGTTGCCATTGAAGAAGTGTTTAAGTGGTGTAAAGCTAATGATAAAAAAGCGACTGAGGTGTTTTCAGAACTGGTCTTATATGTGACGGTGGAACCATGCATCATGTGTGCTGGGGCTCTGAAACAAATGCATGTGCCCATGGTTGTGTTCGGATGTGCCAATGAAAGATTCGGTGGCTGTGGTTCCATCTTGAATGTGGCGAGTGATGATCTTCCGAGTCTTGGACCCAAGTTTGTTTGTATATCTGGTGTGATGGCAGATGAAGCTGTAAAATTGCTGAAAAACTTTTACAAGGGAGAAAACCCACATGCACCAGAAGATAAGCGGAAGAGCAAACAAGCAGCGCCATCTGTGGGAAGCGATGCCTCATAAAAGAACTGCAAGAAATACAAACACAATATGTCACTTTTCATATTTTGTTAAAAACTTATAAATATGATAAGCAAAAGACATCATATCTTAAGTTGTGAAATTTTTGTTTCAGGTTGACTAGAGGCTGGTTGACTTACATAATCATAATATTCATCATAACTTAACCAGACACTCTGTAGAACTTGTTTCTAAGAGCCTGGAGTGACTTCATGTGAGCACTGTTGTAGTGTTTATCAAACTTTGGATTGAGTAATGTATAGCAAGGTCTCCTGCCATTAGAAATGTATTTACCACGTTTACGGACAAGAGGATAGAAGTTGCAGTATAGTGTGTGTAAAATGCTTGTTCGTGCCAGCCTTTTCAATATTCGGAGCAGACGTCTTGTCTGGTGCCATGGTGGCAGCCATGCCTGCTTCTCGTCCCAGGGTGGTCGACAGAAGCTGGTGGTGCTGGGCACCGGGTGGGGCAGTTACAGTGTGCTGAAGAACATCAACAAGAAACTGTATGACGTCATTGTTGTCAGTCCCAGAAACCACTTCCTGTTCACGCCTCTCCTGGCCAGCACTACTGTCGGCACTCTCGAGTTCAGGTCAGATATAACGCATTTCCCTCTATGAGAGATTCTCTGACAAAAGTTATTCTCACATTACCCTCCGTGAAAGATTTCCTGACAAAATTCCTCATTCTAGGTTTAGACTTGCCTTGAAAGGAAATTGATTAAAGTCTGCTTTATGAACTTTATTGAACAAGGCTCTGCTTGTGCTTTTGTTGCCCATGAAGATCCAGGTTAGTATAGGTCTTCAGCAACCCATGCTAGCTGTAAAAGGCGACTATGCTTGTAGTAAGGGGCGACTAGGCTTAGCTGAGGCTCGGTGACTTGGTTGAGGCATGTCATCGTATCCCAGTTGCGTAAATCAATGATCATGATGTCAGTCACTGGGTTGTCTGGTTGATACTAAATTTTTTACCGACCGCCGTCATATAGTTGGAATATTGCTGAGTGCAGCCTTAAACAACAAACAAATAAAATATTGTTGCAAGTTAACTTGTCAGTTTGAAAAAAGCTAAAAAGTAAAATTTGTTAATGTTAAGCATGCTTAGTCTTACGGAACAATAATTTGCCTTGCAGGATTGTGTCAATTAGATGTCAGTGTTTCCGGAGGCATTTTTATCTGCCGGACATGTGGGCCAGTCATATTTTACCGGTCAATATCCGGTATATACTGGAGAACAGAAAAAACACTGGATGTGCCAGCATCTTATTTATACCTAAAACAATAATCCCATCTCCTGCTATAACATTCATACGAGACTACCTTCATTCCAAGTATTTCCTGCTGGTTTTAATATTTGCATAATTAAATTATATTAATATTATGTACCGTATTCGACGTAATAAGCATCCCACTCTAATAAGCGCCCACAGCGATATTTGCTCGTGAACAATCACAATAAGCACCCCTTCCAATTGATGAATGTACACAAGACTTGTTTATTCGTGTATAATACGCACTTGTGTGTTATATGCACCCTTAATTATGGGCAATTGAATTCTGGAAAATGTATCTGTTATGTATAATACACACAGACCTTTCTTTTATATCATTTCTTGCTGTCAGCATAAACCATAAAATTGACGATGTTTCAACTCTTTTTTTTTCACCAAATTCTTTTTCTAATAAGAGCCCCCTATTTCTAATTTTGAGAGCGCCCTGGGCGCTAATTACGTCGAATACAGTAATACCAATGAGTTTGGATATTCCACATGTAGGTCGATCATCGAACCAATTCGCAATACCGGATTCCGTCAGTCAGCTCACTTCCACCTTTCCCGGGCCGCTGACCTTGACCTTGAGAAGAAGGCCCTTTTCTGTGAGAGCGGGGTGAAGTCCAGTCTCAACTACTGGCTACAGTTTGACAAACTAGTGATTGGGGTGGGAGCTCTCAGCAACACCTTCAACGTTCCCGGAGTAGCGGAGCATGCTTTCTTCCTAAAGGTAAGGCCCAAGTGGTAGCAGTTTTCTCATTTTGTTCTGTGAGGGCTACAGTTAAGCTGCACATTTGCGTAAAATACAAAAAAAAAACCGCTCCTGCCTCATTTATTTTGAGTTGCTTGCATACAAATATGCATGAAAAGATTCAGAAACCCAAGAGTTTGACAACAGTCTGCATAATTACCCGATGTATTCTTTTCATTTTGTGTGCTGTATTTCCTTACAGATCTATATTTACAGACACCACACATCACACACAGATAGATGGAACCAGAGCTCTCAATAAGCAGCGTATTTGCATAAAATGCACATTAAATAAACTGAAACACGCAGACAAATCATATCCTAGCGTATCAAATATGCAAGAAAAACTATTTATGCGTCTTTTTCAACTGTTACATAAAATGATTATGTATATTACAACTGTTAGATAAAATGATTGTGTATCAGCCGATCGCGAAATTCACTTACCGACAGTTACATTCGGAAAAGCTCACCTGAAACAGCATTTTAAACAGATTTGGAGTAAAAGTACCAAATAGACAGAGCCTCAGGGAGTACATCTTCGTGAGGCAAGAGCGCCAACTGGTCTTTTTATCAAAGTCTTGTTTCCACCCTTGCCACATCAAGCTCACTTTCCTGTGCTAAATATGATTGGACTATTATACATATCGAAAATCAAATCAGAGAACATTTGACAAAATCAATATCCACGACTGCCACACCTCGTTTGAAAGTGATTTACTGCTGTCTGTCTTTGGTGACACGAATATCATCTTTTAAACCCCCCAACGATTGTCTGTGTTTTTGTGTCATGGATGAAATCGCAAATGTTTTTGTTATACAAGGTTGTCGCCCATGGTAGTCGCCATTTTTGTGAAGCTATACGAGACGAGAACAACGGTCTTCATTACAAGGGGCACAACTCGTGATCTAGCGAGGTGGCGCCAGGGTCGAGCCAAGAAAAGTGGCCTTGATGTGGCAAGGCTAGAAACTAGGCTTTGATATAGGCCAGTGGACACATTTGCTTCAGAAGATGAAGGGGGTAAAAAACATATTAAATACCCAAAGAAAACTATCAGTAAACAATAGGAATCACAACACATTAGTAAACACACATTAGTAATGATCTGGAGCCTTGTGTTGACATTATTATTGATTACCCATCATGCCTTCATTCAGGAAGTTGGTGATGCTAGAAGGATCCGTAATCGCATCTTGAACAACTTTGAGCTTGCTGTGCAGCCTGGGATTGATGAGAGTGAAGCACGACGACTTCTTCACATCGTCATTGTTGGAGGGGGCCCAACTGGTGTGGAGTTCGGAGCCGAGTTGTACGACTTCGTGCAGCAGGTGAGATGCTGGAATATTCATCTGATAATAAGTGTCAAGGTCACGAAAAATTTATTAGTTGATAAATGTAAAAGGGATTTTAGTGAGATTGTATGTAACCTGGAAAATAATTAAGCACCCCTTGCTACATATTTCAATTTTAAATCGCAATTGTTTAAGATCATATCCTGACACACTCATATTTCCACTGAAACTTTTGCCGCCTTACTGATTTATGTAACAGTATGATATCTATTATAAATCACCTACATATTTTATTTTCGACAACCATATTGCATTCAGATCAGTTCATTTTTTCTCTGCATGAAAGTCTGACAAATCCTCCATCATGTTCATAGAAGGTCGCATCATTTGAACTTTGACCATGCAGAAATTACAGGGTGTGTAAAGTCTTCACAACAATATCCTAGTATACAAAAATACCATAGTGTGGCCTTTATCATTTTCATTCGGAACTGCCTGTTTATGTTGGTTTTCGAGATACAGAAATCAGATGGGCTGCTCTGACTATGTCTGTGTGTCTTGTCCTCCAGGATGTGATGTATCTGTACAAGCAGCAGCAGCAGCTGGTCAAGGTGACACTGGTGGAGTCCAACCAGATCCTGGCATCATTCGATGAGAGGCTTCGCAACTTTGCCACCAAGAAGATCCAAAACAGAGACCGCTTTGATATGGTCCAGTCTTCTGTTACAGGTTAGACACCTCCAAATAATCTGATCAAGTTGATGGGTTTTAAGTCTTGTTCGTCCTTGCAAAGCCCATAATTTATTCTGTGATCCTGAAATTCATTATTTAGTTGAGATGTATTATTTAGCACCTGAGATAGTTCTTTAAGTCAAATGATTATATGAGTTTGGTTTTATGTCACTTAAAGCAATATTCAAGCAATATCATGATGGGGGACACCAGAAATGGGCTTCACACAATGTCTCTCATGTGGGGAATTGAACCTGTGTCTTGGGCGTGATGAGCGAACACTTTAACCACTAGGCTACTCCAGGCCCTACATTTTTTTAATGAGGGTATTGACACTGCTGGTATGTCTGACACTGCTGGTATGTCTGACAGTGCTGGTATGTCTGACAATGCTGGTATGTCTGACACTGCTGGTATGTCCCTGACACTGCTGGTATGTCTGACTGCTGGTATGTCTGACACTGCTGGTATGTCCCTGACACTGCTGGTATGTCTGACAATGCTGGTATGTCCCTGACACTGCTGGTATGTCTGACACTGCTGGTATATCTGACACTGCTGGTATGTCCCTGACACTGCTAGTATGTCCCTGACACTGCTGGTATGTCTGACACTGCTGGTATGTCCGACATTGCTGGTATGTCTGACACTGCTGGTATGTCCCTGACACTGCTAGTATGTCCCTGACACTGCTGGTATGTCTGACATTGCTGGTATGTCTGACACTGCTGGTATGTCTGACACTGCTGGTATGTCCCTGACACTGCTGGTATGTCTGATACTGCTGGTATCTCTGACATTGCTGGTATGTCCCTGACACTGCTGGTATGTCTGACAATGCTGGTATGTCTGACAATGCTGGTATGTCTGACACTGCTGGTATGTCTGACACTGCTGGTATGTCTGACACTGCTGGTATGTCTGACACTGCTGGTATGTCCCTGACACTGCTGGTATGTCTGACACTGCTGGTATGTCTGACACTGCTGGTATGTCCCTGACACTGCTGGTATGTCCCTGACACTGCAGGTATGTCTGACACTGCTGGTATGTCTGACATTGCTGGTATGTCCCTGACACTGCTGGTATGTCTGACACTGCTGGTATGTCTGACATTGCTGGTATGTCCCTGACACTGCTGGTATATCTGACACTGCTGGTATGTCCCTGACACTGCTGGTATGTCTGACATTGCTGGTATGTCCCTGACACTGCTGGTATATCTGACACTGCTGGTATGTCCCTGACACTGCTGGTATGTCTGACATTGCTGGTATGTCCCTGACACTGCTGGTATGTCTGACACTGCTGGTATGTCTGACATTGCTGGTATGTCTGACACTGCTGGTATGTCCCTGACACTGCTGGTATGTCTGACACTGCTGGTATGTCCCTGACACTGCTGGTATGTCTGACACTGCTGGTATGTCCCTGACACTGCTGGTATGTCTGACACTGCTGGTATGTCCCTGACACTGCTGCTGGTATGTCTGACACTGCTGGTATGTCCCTGACACTGCTGGTATGTCCCTGACACTGCTGGTATGTCTGACACTGCTGGTATGTCCCTGACACTGCTGGTATGTCTGACACTGCTGGTATGTCTGACACTGCTGGTATGTCCCTGACACTGCTGGTATGTCTGACACTGCTGGTATGTCTGACACTGCAGGTATGTCCCTGACACTGCTGGAATGTCTGACACTGCTGGTATGTCCCTGACACTGCTGGTATGTCCCTGACACTGCTGGTATGTCTGACACTGCTGGTATGTCTGACAGAGGTGAAGGAGGACAGTGTGACCCTGGCTGATGGTCGTGTTATTCCGTGCGGACTGGTGGTGTGGAGCACAGGACTGGCACCGCGGCACTTCACACGCAGTCTCAAGGTGGAGAAGAACAGTCGTGGACAGGTTTGGTACTCTTCCTGTTCTCTCAGCGTCTGTCAATAACACATGTTCCTGTGGCGATTGATGCATGGGATGTAAATCTTGAATGTCCATCATATCATACATTTATGACAGTTTGGTGTTCCTCCCTTTACCTCAGCTTGCCAATAACCTGTGATGATTGATACATGGGAGGTAACTCTGGCATGCACATCCCCCAAATAATAGTAAGTTTATGACAGGTGGTTGGTTTGGAAATGTAATGGATGAATTTTATATGACTGTCTGTGTTTCACATGGAAATGTAATGGATGAATTTTATGTGACTGTCTGTGTTTCACATGGAAATGTAATGGTTGTGTATTGTGTGGCTGTCTGTGTTTCACATAGAAATGTAATGGTTGTGTATTGGGTGGCTGTCTTTGTTTCACATGGAAATGTAATGGTTGTGTATTGGGTGGCTGTCTTTGTTTCACATGGAAATGTAATGGTTGAGTATTGTCTGGCTGTCTGCTTAACATAGAAATGTAATGGTTGTGTATTGGGTGGCTGTCTTTGTTTCACATGGAAATGTAATGGTTGTGTATTGTGTGGCTGTCTGTGTTTCACATGGAAATGTAATGGTTGAGTATTGTGTGGCTGTCTGTGTTTCACATAGAAATGTAATGGTTGTGTATTGGGTGGCTGTCTTTGTTTCACATGGAAATGTAATGGTTGTGTATTGTGTGGCTGTCTGTGTTTCACATAGAAATGTAATGGTTGTGTATTGGGTGGCTGTCTTTGTTTCACATGGAAATGTAATGGTTGTGTATTGGGTGGCTGTCTTTGTTTCACATGGAAATGTAATGGTTGAGTATTGTCTGGCTGTCTGCTTAACATAGAAATGTAATGGTTGTGTATTGGGTGGCTGTCTTTGTTTCACATGGAAATGTAATGGTTGTGTATTGTGTGGCTGTCTGTGTTTCACATGGAAATGTAATGGTTGAGTATTGTCTGGCTATCTGCTTAACATAGAAATGTAATGGTTGTGTATTTGGTTGCTGTCTTTGTTTCACTTGGAAATGTAATGGTTGTGTATTGGGTGGCTGTCTGCTTAACATAGAAATGTAATGGTTGTGTATTGGGTTGCTGTCTTTGTTTCACATGGAAATGTAATGGTTGAGTATTGGGTTGCTGTCTGTGTTTCACATGGAAATGTAATGGTTGAGTATTGGGTTGCTGTCTGTGTTTCACATGGAAATGTAATTGTTGTGTATTGGGTGGCTGTCTGTGTTTTACATAGAAATGTAATGGTTGTGTATTGGGTGGCTGTCTATGTTTCACATAGAAATGTAATGGTTGTGTATTGGGTGGCTGTCTTTGTTTCACATGGAAATGTAATGGTTGAGTATTGGGTTGCTGTCTGCTTAACATAGAAATGTAATGGTTGTGTATTGTCTGACTGTCTGTGTTTTAGGTAGAAATGTAATGGTTGTGTATTGTCTGACTGTCTGTGTTTTAGGTAGAAATGTAATGGTTGTGTATTGTCTGACTGTCTGTGTTTTAGGTAGAAATGTAATGGTTGTGTATTGTGTGACTGTCTTCGTTTCACATGGAAATGTAATGGTTGAGTATTGTCTGGCTGTCTGCTTAACATAGAAATGTAATGGTTGGGTATTGGGTGGCTGTCTTCGTTTCACATGGAAATGTAATGGTTTAGTATTAAGTGGCTGTCTGTGCTTCACATGGAAATGTAATGGTTGTGTATTGGGTGGCTGTCTGTGTTTCACTTGGAAATGTAATGGTTGTGTATCGTGTGGCTGTCTTTGTTTCACATGGAAATGTAATGGTTGTGTATTGTGTGACTGTCTTCGTTTCACAAGGAAATGTAATGGTTGTGTATTGTGTGACTGTCTTCCTTTCACAAGGAAATGTAATGGTTGTGTATTGTGTGACTGTCTTCGTTTCACAAGGAAATGTAATGGTTGAGTTTTGTGTGACTGTCTGTGTTTCACATGGAAATGTAATGGTTGTGTATTGTGTGACTGTCTTCGTTTCACATGGAAATGTAATGGTTGAGTATTGTGTGACTCTCTTCGTTTCACATGGAAATGTAATGGTTGTGTATTGTGTGACTGTCTTCGTTTCACAAGGAAATGTAATGGTTGTGTATTGTGTGACTGTCTTCGTTTCACATGGAAATGTAATGGTTGTGTATTGTGTGACTGTCTTCGTTTCACATGGAAATGTAATGGTTGAGTATTGTGTGACTCTCTTCGTTTCACATGGAAATGTAATGGTTGTGTATTGTGTGACTGTCTTTGTTTCACATGGAAATGTAATGGTTGTGTATTGGGTGGCTGTCTGTGTTTCACATGGAAATGTAATGGTTGTGTATTGGGTGGCTGTCTTTGTTTCACATGGAAATGTAATGGTTGTGTATTGGGTGTCTGTCTGTGTTTCACATAGAAATGTAATGGTTGTGTATTGGGTGGCTGTCTATGTTTCACATGGAAATGTAATGGTTGTGTATTGTCTGGCTGTCTGTTTTACATAGAAATGTAATGGTTGAGTATTGGGTGGCTGTCTTTGTTTCACATGGAAATGTAATGGTTGTGTATTGGGTGGCTGTCTGTGTTTCACATGGAAATGTAATGGTTGTGTATTGGGTGGCTGTCTTTGTTTCACATGGAAATGTAATGGTTGTGTATTGGGTGGCTGTCTTTGTTTCACATAGAAATGTAATGGTTGTGTATTGGGTGGCTGTCTATGTTTCACATGGAAATGTAATGGTTGTGTATTGGGTGGCTGTCTTTGTTTCACATGGAAATGTAATGGTTGTGTATTGGGTGGCTGTCTTTGTTTCACATGGAAATGTAATGGTTGTGTATTGGGTGGCTGTCTTTGTTTCACATGGAAATGTAATGGTTGTGTATTGGGTTGCTGTCTTTGTTTCACATGGAAATGTAATGGTTGTGTATTGGGTGGCTGTCTGTGTTTCACATGGAAATGTAATGGTTGTGTATTGGGTGGCTGTCTATGTTTCACATGGAAATGTAATGGTTGTGTATTGTGTGACTGTCTGTGTTTCACATGGAAATGTAATGGTTGTGTATTGGGTGGCTGTCTGTGTTTCACATGGAAATGTAATGGTTGTGTATTGGGTGGCTGTCTGTGTTTCACATGGAAATGTAATGGTTGTGTATTGTGTGACTGTCTTTGTTTCACATGGAAATGTAATGGTTGTGTATTGGGTGGCTGTCTTTGTTTCACATGGAAATGTAATGGTTGTGTATTGGGTTGCTGTCTTTGTTTTACATAGAAATGTAATGGTTGGGTATTGGGTGGCTGTCTGTGTTTTACATAGAAATGTAATGGTTGTGTATTGGGTGGCTGTCTGTGTTTTACATAGAAATGTAATGGTTGTGTATTGGGTGGCTGTCTATGTTTCACATAGAAATGTAATGGTTGTGTATTGGGTGGCTGTCTTTGTTTCACATGGAAATGTAATGGTTGAGTATTGGGTTGCTGTCTGCTTAACATAGAAATGTAATGGTTGTGTATTGTCTGACTGTCTGTGTTTTAGGTAGAAATGTAATGGTTGTGTATTGTCTGACTGTCTGTGTTTTAGGTAGAAATGTAATGGTTGTGTATTGTCTGACTGTCTGTGTTTTAGGTAGAAATGTAATGGTTGTGTATTGTGTGACTGTCTTCGTTTCACATGGAAATGTAATGGTTGAGTATTGTCTGGCTGTCTGCTTAACATAGAAATGTAATGGTTGGGTATTGGGTGGCTGTCTTCGTTTCACATGGAAATGTAATGGTTTAGTATTAAGTGGCTGTCTGTGCTTCACATGGAAATGTAATGGTTGTGTATCGTGTGGCTGTCTTTGTTTCACATGGAAATGTAATGGTTGTGTATTGGGTGGCTGTCTGTGTTTTACATGGAAATGTAATGGTTGTGTATTGTGTGACTGTCTTCGTTTCACAAGGAAATGTAATGGTTGTGTATTGTGTGACTGTCTTCCTTTCACAAGGAAATGTAATGGTTGTGTATTGTGTGACTGTCTTCGTTTCACAAGGAAATGTAATGGTTGAGTTTTGTGTGACTGTCTGTGTTTCACATGGAAATGTAATGGTTGTGTATTGTGTGACTGTCTTCGTTTCACAAGGAAATGTAATGGTTGTGTATTGTGTGACTGTCTTCGTTTCACATGGAAATGTAATGGTTGAGTATTGTGTGACTCTCTTCGTTTCACATGGAAATGTAATGGTTGTGTATTGTGTGACTGTCTTCGTTTCACAAGGAAATGTAATGGTTGTGTATTGTGTGACTGTCTTCGTTTCACATGGAAATGTAATGGTTGTGTATTGTGTGACTGTCTTCGTTTCACATGGAAATGTAATGGTTGAGTATTGTGTGACTCTCTTCGTTTCACATGGAAATGTAATGGTTGTGTATTGTGTGACTGTCTTTGTTTCACATGGAAATGTAATGGTTGTGTATTGTGTGACTGTCTTTGTTTCACATGGGAATGTAATGGTTGTGTATTGTGTGACTGTCTTTGTTTCACATGGAAATGTAATGGTTGTGTATTGTGTGACTGTCTGTGTTTCACAAGGAAATGTAATGGTTATGTATTGTCTGGCTGTCTTCGTTTCACAAGGAAATGTAATGGTTGTGTATTGGGTGGCTGTCTGTGTTTCACATGGAAATGTAATGGTTGTGTATTGGGTGGCTGTCTATGTTTCACAGGGAAATGTAATGGTTGTGTATTGGGTGGCTGTCTTCGTTTCACATGGAAATGTAATGGTTGTGTATTGTGTGGCTGTCTTCGTTTCACAAGGAAATGTAATGGTTGTGTATTGTGTGGCTGTCTTCGTTTCACAAGGAAATGTAATGGTTGTGTATTGTGTGGCTGTCTTCGTTTCACATGGAAATGTAATGGTTGTGTATTGTGTGGCTGTCTTCGTTTCACATGGAAATGTAATGGTTGTGTATTGTGTGACTGTCTTCGTTTCACATAGAAATGTAATGGTTGTGTATTGTGTGGCTGTCTTCGTTTCACAAGGAAATGTAATGGTTGTGTATTGTGTGGCTGTCTTCGTTTCACATGGAAATGTAATGGTTGTGTATTGTGTGGCTGTCTTCGTTTCACAAGGAAATGTAATGGTTGTGTATTGTGTGGCTGTCTTCGTTTCACATGGAAATGTAATGGTTGTGTATTGTGTGGCTGAGTTTCACACAAGTGGTGACCAGATGGATCAGGTGGTCATACTTGATGACTTTGTCTATAATGTGCACTGGTACTCCGACTGTGTGGACCGTTGCTCACAATATCAATCACTGGATTGTCTGGCCCTGACTCAATTTTGCTGAGATCAGTGTTTGTATCACAACAAATAAACTGTTTTATGAATACATTTCAGATTTTGACTGATCGCTACCTGAGAGTACTGAAGACCCCTGGTGGCGATGCCCTGGAGGACGTGTTTGCCCTGGGGGACTGTGCCGACATCAAGGACGTGTCTCTGCCATGCACAGCTCAGGTGAATTAGCAGCAACATGAGTAGGGTGCAAGTGGTGTATGTGAAACAGCCATCAAAACGTATACATCCATCTTACATCCTGAAACAATGGTAGGCCATGTTGCCTGAGGAGCTGTAAGACTAAAAAGAATAATAGTCTTGTTTCTCAGGCACCACCAGCATCATCATAAAGTCTGCCACACGTTTTTTTGTTTTTTGTCATTTTAAAAAAAATATAAAAATCCTAATGCTTAAACACAATGCACCCAAAAAAATTGAAATTGGAAACAAAAACGAAATGTGCAATGAACTTTTTGATGATGTGGGCAGTGCCTGAGAACCAAGACTTTTTTTTGTTTAGCCTAATCTGTTGTTGCATTCATGCATGCCAGAAACAACTCAGATATCTATCACTTCAGGCTTTCCTCCCACGTCAAGCTGACGTCCTGATATTATTGAAATACTGTTCAAAGTGGGAATAATCCTTACTGGGAAAACCTGAAGTGACACGGAAGTGAGCAAACATACGCTGTGAGTGTCAGTCAGTTTCCCATCCTCTAAGTATACCTCTTGCACTCGGCTCAACCACATGTTTGTTTGTTTGTTTGTTTGTTTGTTAACCCCACACTCAGCTATATCATGGCAGTTTGTAAATAATCGAGTCTGGACCGGACACTCTAGTGATTAACGTCATGAGCATCAATCTAAGCAATTGGGATGTACGGGTTCAAATCCCGGTTCAGCCTGACTATGTTTCTGGGATGGACAACACCATACCCGTGCTCGTGGGTTTCACCAAAGTGGTAAATGTCTGAGACCTGCATCACTTCAGGCTTTCCTCCCACGTGAAGCTGACACGCCGTGAAATACTGTCCCCAGCAACACTAAACCCAGCTTGCTGACTCGTTTGTCATCCTGTTGTCTCTGTTGTAGGTGGCGGAGCGGGAGGGGCGCTACCTGGCCAACTTCCTCAACAAGAAATGTGCCGAGGATGTGGGAGAGTTCAAGTTCACCAGTATGGGGATGCTGGCATACATCGGGGACTATCAGGCTCTGTCAGACACACCCAACATCAAAATACAAGGTAAACCAACTTCTTCACCATGGTAACAGCCAATGGGCAGCTATCACACCCAAGTCCATTAATCCAGAGACTGGTTAAATTGTTTTCTCTCACACGCGAGTTATGTTCCATAAACACCAAGTATACAATGTGTTTTGGACCAGTGGGTGTGGAGTAAATGGTAGGGGTTAAATCCATGTGTATTGTGAGGTCGGACACCTTGTCCACATGACCAAAGAGGTTAACCCCGTCAGCAAGCTGACAAGGTAAGGATGTCATCTGTGGGATGACTCCATGCCCTGCTACATACTCCCCCGTCAACAGAAGGCACGTCCCGGGTAGGGTACTGAGGCTTATTTTACTCAAATTTATTTTGAACGTGCTCAGCCCCATGTTGGGCGCCAATGTAGCGGCCATAAAATTTCAATGTCCCGTGATGGGATTCGAAACCACGGACCTTCTGATCAGAGGTCGGACGCCTTGTCCACATGACCAAAGAGGTTAATCCCGTCAGCAAGCTGACAAGGTAAGGATGTCATTTGTGGGATGACTCCACGCCCTCCTACATAATGAAACATGTTAACAAGGGCCACAGATTCACAGAGCCTATGACATGTCACTTCATCTTTGTAGTGCTGTTTCAAGACTACAACTGCATCTTGTGATTTCGAGAAAATATACTAAACAAATGAACCAATCTGTGTTTTGTAATCACTTGTAAACTTTGTAATCCACTTGTACATCTGAAATTCATTTTCTGAAAAACATTTACTTTCAATGAAAACTAAAAAACTATTGTCACTGTCAGAGTTGGACATATCAGCAAGTTGTGATCAGGATACCACAACAAGGAATTAACTAGATGCAATCGATGCTTCACCATTTTATACACAGATCAGTGAATATTTCAGTCTCAAACCGAAATAAATGAAAGTATCAAAACGAGAACGATAAACGCAGTTGAAGAAATAGTATGTTTCCCACACTGATTTCTCACTGAAAAGTGATCTCAATTTGTGATGTAAATGTCACGTTTCTATTGTTGAAAGAACGAAAGGTGTATTTCAATCCTTTATTCCCACGCATACAAACGAAATTACAGTGTACAAATGATCATTATTTAATTGTGGATAGGCGAATGCCTGCTAGTGTGCAAATGGAGGAGCAGGCTTGTTATGCCAATCAAGCATGTGAGTTTGGAGGTCATTTTATTGTTTTTGACGTTTTCATGGAATCTTAAAAAAAACCAATGTATCATTTTTTATTTGATTTTTATTTCATTTTATTTCATCTATGCCATGACTGGATGACTATAATAATATGAAAGGATCGGGATTGTTTTACTTCTTTTGAGAGTGTATTTCAAACTAGTGGTAAGGCTGACAATTGTGAGACTTTGTTTCTTTGCAGGGTTTCCCTCATGGCTGCTGTGGCGCTCGGCCTACCTGACCCGGCTGGGCAGCTGGCGACTGAGGATGCAGGTGCCCCTGGACTGGACCAAGACTCTCCTGTTTGGGAGGGACATCTCCAGATTTGACTAGATCAGACAGTGTGCCTTAGCAGTAGGATCAATCAGTGCAATTATTTGGTGATCAGCACCCGTCCATGAGATCGCTCCTGATTATAATTAGAACTTGTTGGAAGTATCTCATTGTGACTCTGCCATGACATTGAAGAATGCTTGATTCTGATTGGTTATTAAGATGTATTCTTTTTACTACTGAAACCTCTTTCAAATTAAGCCTTTTTACACAAAAACTGTGTATGAATACATTCAATAGCCTATATATCGATCCATAAAAAATGGCTGCCAATGATCCATCTGAACTGTATAACGTATCCACTATTAGACGCCATGTCTACATGATACACACATGCCTGTAATAGATGACAGGTCAACAACTCTCACAAAATTAATAGACAACCGTGTATCTAGTACGTGTAGAGGAAATACAGTACGGTTGATATTGGATATTTTTGGTGGCGGTTTTGACGTCCTAGGCCGTAACTCTCTGACCCACTTACACTCCTGATTTTGATTAGAACCTTGTATCTCATTGTGAACTGTGACTTGAAGAGCCTTACCACACTGGAAAGTCCCACAAAGTTACTTCTGTGGCGAGTGTTTAAATGGAGTCCAGGCTGAGACTGGTCCTTCAGCATGATACAGATGTTTGTACAGCTGCCCGGACCTGTAACAGCTTCACCAGCTTCTCTTTCACAGGTCTTTCAGGAATTTATTTAGAGGCCGACATTCTATAGGCTGTAGCCTGTTGCAGTAAAGTCCCAAAGTAGACTTCATGTTAGTATACTTTTTGTAGTGAAGACTTAGCTCACGCTTTCATAAAAATATCCCCCTAAATACTCATGATTCCTAACTTGTTTTGGTTCAGTAGAGTTATGTTTCTGTTTTATTCCTTTGTTCCAAAACAGGACAAGTATTAAAAGAGGAAGAAGCTTTGATGCTTACTTTTACACTATTGTATTGAATGTGATGTAAAATACATGTGATACCTCTGAATGTGAGAAAAAAACAAACCTTTTGAACCAAAGAAAATTACTTTTGGCCTGCCTAGAATATTGGGATTTGGGATCCTAGATCAAACTCACTCACATTACATGAGGATTATCCATGTCGATTATCTTCAGACAAGCATCCTATATTTTGTCTTAAAGTATTTTGTTCCATTGTCCCTGTGAAGATCATTTATTGATCATCTGTATGAAACACCACAAAACACGCAGATGTCAGCCTTGAATAATGTAGCAGTTGTGCAATACGTTTTATTCATTATCATGATTTTGTTTGTGTGAAAGATTTGTCCTACAAGCTCATCCAGAGTCGAGTTGCTGCTCTTATTTGTGGAATGTCAAAAAGTTTCTCTCAGCCATTAGAGGTGTTTACATTGTGAGTCATTGTTTCAATCATGAATGTTAACAATCTACCCTGATGATATTCCCTCTGTGTGATGATCTGTCAACCCCTCCATAGGAGGCTGCGCCCAGTGTACTTTCTTACCCATCTTCGAAGATCCGGTTAGAATAGATCTTAAGCAAGCCATGCTTGTCGTGAGAGGCGGATGGTCAGGCCTGCTGACTTGGTTGATCATGTCATCATATCCCAATTGCGTGGATCGATGTTCATATCAGTCACTGAATTGTCTGATCCAGATTCGATTTTTTAGTGCAGCACTAAACAAACCACACAAAACTTTCTTACCACATATGGGTGAGCGAAGCATTCAGTGTAGCACATTTGATTCTTGTGTCTTGAAAATGAACTTGATTGATCAGTTCGAAATATAAATGATAAAGGCTGGGCCATTATACATGATTTGGATTGGATTTAATTGGATTGAATTCACTCCGGTTTAACCCAATGCAACCTTCTATGGAGGTGTTAGATCTTCAGGCAGAGAGGTATCATATCAGTATACATCCGACCTTGGAGCACCTTGTGGGCTGTGGTCAGGGTGGGCCTTTGACCTGTGGCCAGGGAGAAGGATAACCTGGCACAACACAGGACCATTTGCAGGGACCGGGAGTCAACGGGTGAACCAAGTTCTGTCAGCATATGATGTGACGTGTACATCTCGGTCACTGATCTAAAGCAGAGATAGACGTGTTAGTCTGAGACAGTGAAACTCCAGAGGGACTAGTTATTTTCTCAAAAACCGATACCAGTCCAAAAAGATCTGTGGTCTAGCTAGATTTGACAAATGGTGTCAACCACTGTAAAGCTGACCAGTGCAGTGACCATATGATTTAGTTTTAATAATTTGAGAATATATTTGTATAATATTTAAATGAGAATCATATCTCAGGTTATCCTAATTGGCATATTTATCTATTTACATAGAGTATGTTAATTTCGTAATTGTTTACCTCATATACAAAAATAAAATATTTATCTTATTCTTCTTTGTGGAGTTTTTTTATGATGAAGGGCCTCGAGCATGACCGGTTCCCAGTATCCCCAACTCTTTCTTCTCATTAGATTGGTGGGGTGGGGTAGCCTAGTGGCTACTACAGTTATAGCTCGTCACACCGAAGGCACAGGTTCGATTCCCTGCACGGGTAGAACTTGTGAAGCCCATTTCTGGTGCCGTGATACTGTAAATCGTGAAATTAATGAGTCTCCAAAAGAATGCGACCGCTGGCCCCTAGCCAAAAATGAGATTCAGTATGAATGCAACACCCCCCTCCCCTCAAGCATCAGCAGATTTATATCTGAAGATAATCTCCTCTCCTCCGTCAGGTTTACAGGAGAATCCTCAACTTAATCCAACCTTATATTAATCCACAGCTTCTCAAGTCATGGGTCCTGATGGCAGCCCGTCATTATTGTTTTATATTTCAAACACTGATTACAGGACAAACTGGTCCATGAAAGCAGTAAATATTGATACCATAAGTTTGGTCAGATTCCAGTTTACACCGATTCTACCACACAGAGAGAGAGGATGTGTGTCAACTTTGTGGTTCTCATTTGTAATTAATATTTGTGACTTCAAGGACGACGAGTGAGTGAGTGAGTTGGTTTTAACACATACCTTTTTACAGTAATCCCGTTATATCACGGCGTGTCAGCTTAATGTGGGAGGAAAGCACTTTGGTGAAACCCCTGACCACATGTATGGTGCTGACAAACCTAGAAATATATCCAAGCGAACCGGGATTCAAACCACAATCATAGGTTCCTAATGTTCCCAAGAGACGCAACTCTGCATAGCGAATTGCTGCGCCTTTGACGACTGGGCCACCCAGGCCCCACAAGAACGAAGGAGGATCCAAGATGTATATTGTATCATTTATTTCATGTATGTACAGTAATGAGTAACATAAATAGTTAATGCAGGCTCACAGTGACCTAAACAGACTAAGGGAGTTTTCATCTTGACCCAGATTTGTAATCCAAGTTTTTCTTAAACAACAACAATCAATAAGCTTACTGTGATAATTCCCTCCCTCTGGAATGTTGATTTACTAGACATTGTGATTAACTATGGCTGTGACAACTGGCAGAACATCCACTGATCAGGATGTTCCACATTGCAAGTATCTAGCAAATAATATGTCTGTCAAAACTCAGGCCTTTTTTAGGGGAGCCAAGTTGTTCCTCAAAATTATCAATTATTTGTCATTTTGGAGTTTTGGATGTGATTAATGCACATCGCATAATGTGTACCCATTGGTGTATTGAAAATAGTGCAAGCCGAATTTACGTTGTCAAGAATTTCAGATTGCAAAAGCATACTGTGTTATCATATTCCTGAATCAGATTCATTTTTAAGCGCAAGTTGCAACTCCATGTGAAATTTCGGTCACCTGATTTGATGTTTGTTTGGTACTTGGGGCTTGAGATTGACAAATTGAACATAAAAGATTAACACCACTTGTAAACACAGGCTGCTAAGCAGTAGTTCATGGTTGTTGACATTCAGATCTATGTCATCACGGACTCCGTGGCCGACAACAACCACACAGACGTCGGTCTCCTGCACCCCTCCGTGACACCACCACAGCCCGTGGCGGGGTCCGCTTAGTTGTGAAGGATGACATCGTAGGACTGCTGTACGCCGCTGTAGATGTCTGTGGCTCGGCACTTGAGTGACAGCTGCAAGTACAGGTACAGTCAGGTTAGATCAACAGAAACAAGCAGGGAGACATTCAAAAATGTTCCATTTCCCAAAACATGCTAAAGAATGCTTTAGTTTGTTTGGTGTTTAATGCTGCATTCAGTAATATTCCAGCTATGAGAAGGCTGCCTGTAAATAATCAAGCCTGGACAAGACAATCCAGTGATTGTTCTTCTGAGGAACGATCCACGCTGCTTGGGTACAATGACACACAATCAACCAAGTCACCGAGCCTGACCACCCGATCTATTTGGTCGCCTCTTACTCCCAGTGTAGCTTGCTAGGGCCCTATTCTAACACACTTCTAAGACACAGAGGTTAACATGTAACAATATTGCAGCTTTACATAGGATTTTTGAAAACCTCATAAGGGAATTTCAGATGAATTTGTTTAATTTTGTTCAAGAATCAACTATCGAACAATTAGCAGCCTAATAACAGGAGAAAAAAGGATGGCCTGTCAACTATTAATTGGTCAACTGGTCAAGAAATGGTTCACCAGTACAGAAACTTCAGTTAAGACTCATTGCCAATGGTTTAGATGAGCAATAATATATACTACTCAAAAAAGGTTAAGAACCACTTAATCTTTTTTCATATTACTGAAGTTAATCTGTCCTGCCTTACTTTTTATGAGCAGTATAAATAAGGATGTGTAGAACTGTGACCAACTTACAAACAACACACGTGTACTGACCGTGAATGAAGGGTTGCAGGGTTGAATCTTGAGTTCAGCCAGCACCTTGATGCCGTTGGTGAGTTTGAGAGACTGATACAGCATGTCCTGTCCCTCCACGTTCCGCTTTGCGATGGTGAAGATGTTGCTGTTCCTCAGCTTCTGGGACACTGTGTCTGAACATGGACATACAGAGCGTCAATACATCCGTGTGGGAGCAGGTCGTCTTCATTAGCTACTCTTAAAATGCACATTCATAGTGACCTGCCTGTGTTGTGCTGCACATTATTGATAATTACCTCTTATGCAGCACATTATTGGTAGTGACCTACTTATGTTGTGCTGTACATTATGGATAGTTGCCTGCATTGTGCTGCACATTATGGCTAGTGACCTACCTGTGTTGTGCAGCACTTTATTGATGGTGACCTACCTGCGGTGTGCTGCACATTATTGATAGTGACCTGCCTGCGTTGTGCTGCACATTATTGATAGTGACCTGCCTGCGTTGTGCTGCACATTATTGATAGTGACCTACCTGCGTTGTGCTGCACATTATTGATAGTGACCTACCTGCGTTGTGCTGCACATTATTGATGGTGACCTGCCTGCGTTGTGCTGCACATTATTGATGGTGACCTACCTGCGTTGTGCTGCACATTATTGATGGTGACCTACCTGCGTTGTGCTGCACATTATTGATGGTGACCTACCTGCGTTGTGCTGCACATTATTGATGGTGACCTACCTGCGTTGTGCTGCACATTATTGATAGTGACCTACCTGCGTTGTGCTGCACATTATTGATAGTGACCTACCTCAGTTGTGCTGCACATGATTGATAGTGACCTACCCCTGTTGTGCTGCACATTATTGATGGTGACCTACCTGTGTTGTGCTGCACATTATTGATTGTGACCTACCTGTGTTGTGCTGCACATTATTGATGGTGACCTACCTGTGTTGTGCTGCACATTATTGGTGACCTACCCCCGTTGTGCTGCACATTATTGATGGTGACCTACCTCCCTTGTGCTGCACATTATTGATAGTGACCTACCTGCGTTGTGCTGCACATTATTGATAGTGACCTACCTCAGTTGTGCTGCACATTATTGATGGTGAACTACCTGCGTTGTGCTGCACATTATTGACAGTGACCTACCTGCGTTGTGCTGCACATTATTGATGGTGTACTGGACCTCGTTGGTGGACGGTATCTCCTTCCAGGTGGCAAGAAACTCCTTCTTGTCCATCTCCCCATCCTCCACAAACAACACATGCAGAGGCACAACACTGCTGAAGTAAAACACGCTGATGTTGTTCTTAATGGCAACCTGCAACAACAAAACAACATTCCATTACTGGCAGTTTTCAATCCATTTGATCATCTAACCAGATCATGTTTGCCCTTTCACTGTAAATAATTGTTTTCAACAGGACAAAATTTACCAAATTCTTATACCAGACAAGCATATAAAGTTTAAGAACTTTAAGCACAAGTCATCTGAACATGTTGTCCTTTATTCTATGCAAGTAATTCTGCAGTAAATGAAATAAATAACCGTGGTGCTTTACCATAGCCTTACAACCCCAAACATATTCCCATTTTAACATAGGAAAAGGGCAGCAGTGATTCTGATGAATGATTTGGTTAGCCACTTTCAACAGTATTTCAGTTATCATGGCGGGAAGAGATCCTTAAGTGATGCAGGTTCTAGACGTTTACACTTTAGTGAAACTAACCAGCATAGTTATGGTGCAGACACACCAAGACACACAATCAGGGCTAACAGGATTCGAACCCATGACCATAGATCTCTCTCACGCCCAAGGGAACCTAATCTCACAGAGACTTGCAGCGCTTTAGAAGACTGGGCCACTTGTGGCCCCTGTTGTGGTCTTGATACTTTGTGACAGTTCAGCTTGTTGCCTGAGTGTTTGTTTGTTTGTTTATTTATTGTTCAACGACGCACTCAGCAATATTCCAGCTATATGACGACGGTCTGTAAATAATCAAGTCTGGACCAAACAATCCAGTGATGGACATCATGAGCATCGATTAACGCAATTGGGATACGATGACATGCATCAACCAAGTCAGCGAGCCTGACAACCCGATCCCGTTCGTTGCCTCTTACGACAGGCATAGTCGCCATTTACAGCAAGCATGGGTTGCTGAAGACCTATTCTACCCCGGATCTTCACGGGTCTGTTGCCTGAGTGAGTCTAGCAAGTTGTCCCTGTACTCACCTGTAGATTCATGAGGGGGTCCATCTTCTGCACGGCGCCAGCAGTACTAAGCGGCAGGGAGGTGCTCGCTGTACTGTTGGGGGGAAGGGGGCTTTGGATCTGAAGTGGCTGGGATTGCATCAGACCAAAACTACAAACAGAAGAGTGAGTTGTGTTTCATACCACTTTGAACAGTATTCCAGTTATATCACATCATGTCAGATTGATGTGGGAGGAAAGCCCGAAGTGATGCAGATGTTAGATGTTTATCACTTAGGTGAACCCCTCAAGCATGGGTATGGTGCTGACAAACCAAGAAACCAAGAAACGGGGCAAACCAGGATTCAAACCTACAATCATAGGATTCTGGAATGCCCAAGAGACAACTCTGCACAGCGAATTCCGGGCCTTAGATGACTGGGCCACAATCAGATGGACATGCATTACACGATTGGAGGTGGTTACAGATGATTTCATCAACACAATCGGAGAATCACACCAGATTTTGTGACAATAATTTGTCTAAAGTAATATACCACTGCAAGTACTGGGTAGTATTAGGTCGCAAACTGTTTGTGTTTAAACGCCACACTCAGCAGTATTCTAGCTATATAACAGTGGCTTGAAAATAATTGAGTCTGGACCAGACAATATATACTGTATTCAACATAATAAGTGCCCCGCTCTAATAAGCGCCCACAGCGATATTTGCTAATATATTGGTGAGTGAACAATCCCATTTAGCACCCTTTCTGATTGATCAATGTACGCACGATTTATTTATTCGTGTATCGCTGTCAGCATAAGCTATTAAATTTACAGTCTTTCAACTCAAAATAATATTCTAATAAGAGCCCCCTATTTCTAATTTTGAGAGCGCCCTGGCCCCTTATTACGTTGAATATGGTAATTATGGTTTGGACTGAGAAATTGTGTGCCAAAAAAATCACTTAGTTGCTTGGTGCAGTGATTGATGACATTTTGGTATGATGACGCAGTGAACCAACTCACCGAGTCTGACCACGTGATTCATTATGTTGCCTCTAACGACCTGCATGGGTTGATGACGACCAACTGTAAACGGAATCCCCAGTGGATCTACACAAACTAATATTTATTTCTCAGAGTGTTTCCAAGTTCTCACCTATTTTTGTTGAACTGTACTGCAAAGTCTGCCATGGCCTGCATGGCTTTGTTGGTGAATGTGAGCTCCATGTATATCTGCCCGGAGCGTCTGGCGTATGTACCTGTAATCTCCATCCCCTTCCCCTTGGCCGCAGTTAACCACACCTGTAGCACAACACATGGTATCATACAACTTAGCACAACACACAGCGTCATACAACTTAGCACAACACATGGCATCATACACCTTTAGCACAACACATGGCATCATACACCTGTAGCACAACACATGGCATCATACACCTGTAGCACAACACATGGCATCATACACCTGTAGCACAACACACGGCGTCACACACCTGTAGCACAACACATGGCATCACACACCTGTAGCACAACACATGGCATCACACACCTGTAGCACAACACATGGCATCACACACCTGTAGCACAACACATGGCATCATACACCTGTAGCACAACACACGGCGTCACACACCTGTAGCACAACACATGGCATCACACACCTGTAGCACAACACATGGCGTCACACACCTGTAGCACAACACATGGCATCACACACCTGTAGCACAACACATGGCATAATACAACTTACGCAACACACAGCGTCACACACCTGTAGCACAACACATGGCATCATACACCTGTAGGACAACGCATGGCATCATACACCTGTAGGACAACACATGGCATCATACAACTTAGCACAACACATGGCATCATACACCTTTAGCACAACACATGGCATCATACACCTGTAGCACAACACATGGCATCATACACCAGTAGCACAACACAGGGCGTCATACACCAGTAGCACAACACACTGCATCATACACCTGTAGCACAACACACTGCATCATACACCTGTAGCACAACGCATGGCATCATACACCTGTAGCACAACACATGGCATCATACACCTGTAGCACAACACATGGCGTCATACACCTGTAGCACAACACACTGCATCATACACCTGTAGCACAACACATGGCATCATACACCTGTAGGACAACACATGGCATCATACACCTGTAGCACAACACATGGCATCATACACCTGTAGCACAACACATGGCATCATACACCTGTAGCACAACACACTGCATCATACACCTGTAGCACAACACATGGCATCATACACCTGTAGCACAACACATGGCATCATACACCTGTAGCACAACACATGGCATCATACACCTGTAGCACAACACATGGCATCATACACCTGTAGCACAACACATGGCATCATACACCTGTAGCACAACACATGTCATCATACCCCTGTAGCACAACACATGGCATCATATACACCACAAACACAGCATGTTGCATCTTATCCTAACTCCATGTCAGAATGATGAAAGCTGATTGATTCATGTGATCTTAATAAAATATTAGATACATTTCTCGGGGGAGAATAAATCCCATATACCCTGCTAAGAAGAAAACAGGCTGCACATGGATTTCTGTGACACTAAATATCTTCCACCATGCTACAAAGCAAAAGGCTGCACGTTTACGAGTCAATGAAAGTCATGTGACACAGTACAAGTTAACCTCAGCTCAATCGAACAGCTGTATTCTATCAATTAATTAATTCTTTTACAATGGCAAATTGAAACATGTCGACAAGATAAATTTGTTGCGACAGTATCACGAGGGGAATATGTGGTTTTATTCAGACAATACTTACCTCTTGTGGTGGAACATAGCACTGTGACTGAGCTGAACCAAATATATCTCCTAGACCTCCTAATGCATCTCCACCTAGATTTGGACCAAGCTGAAATAAAAATGTCACGAAAGTAAATAACTCGTGTACACAGGGCGCAATTACAAACAGTGCCATGGTACGGAAGCTCATCAGGTTTTACTGGAAACAAAGTGGTTTCTGTAAGGTTTGTTTTAATAATTATAATCTTTTTCATTGACAAACAAACTGTATATCAGAACAAGCTGAACAAAGTTTGGTGTTGTCACTGATAAGAATGTTTACATAAAGTTTCAATCTACTCTTTTTAAAAAATAACATCACTGATTAATAAGAGCATACATAACCTACGAGGCATGAAGAATTACGGATTGTAACCCCGAGTGAATCAATTTTGCTGACTTTCTTTCACAATAAGGTGAAATGAAAAAAACACAAGATTTTATCACGCCATTCATAAGAAATGGTGATTAATATGTATCAAAGTCTTTATTCTGACAATAAAACCATTGAATTATCTTTTGGTGTATCTTGTCATATTAAAACGTTGTTTATTTTCATTCAATAGCAGTTCCATTAATAAACTACCTATAACTATTAATTACTACCTACATTAAACTGCAGGCCAAATGATTTAGTAAACCAACTAATACTATAAAAGGCCTTAACTATCAATACACATACTATATTTCATCAAAAATGATCTCTTTATTGATCACAGATTGAAAACAAATAATGGTATTGGTTTCAGAAACCAAGATGTCTGCCCCCAGAAACGTCCCACATCTGCGTCTTCCCGAGGCAAGGGAGTTAACTGACTGAAAAAGTCCAGTTTCCACCCTTGCCAAACTGAATGGAATTTCCAGACTCGACCATAGCGCCACCAACGGCTATTACGAGTTATGTCCCTTTGATGTCCCTCCTATTGACCAATCAGATTCCCCACCTCATATCACTTGACTCTGCTTCCAACAAAATGGTGGTGCCCAATCAAGACGATATGATCGATAATCAAATTCTATATTGATATGAAACGCGTCCTACTTCACTAAGTACAGCAATCACGTGAGCACCTTGATTAAAAACATTTAAAGATTTGGAAAATATCTGTTGATGCTAAGTTGAGAGTACACATGCTTTGCAATCCAGCAATCGACCCAAATCTGCACGGCAATTTACAAACCGGATGTCGATTTTGCTACATGATGTTGATTGGACTTTGCATAGACTCATCAGTCCAGCCAAAATATAACTCCATAATTGCAGCCTAGTTCGGCAAGGATGGAAACTGGACTTCTTTAGTCAGTTAACTCCCTTGCATCAGGAAGATGAACATCTGTGACTACGGCGTCGACTGACTCACCAGACTATCGAGGCCCTCCCCGAGGAAGTCCATGTTAGAGGTGGACACAGGTTGTGCTGGGGTGGTGAACATTTGCTGTTGTTGCTGCTGCTGGTACTGGGTGGGTCCGCCGAGGTCCATGTCCAGGAGGTCGCCGATGAGGGAGTCTGCTCCGGGGATTACTGTCGCCTGTGGGACTGCTGCCGCCTGCTGGCTGGATGTGTCGCCTGGCGCCTCCTCACCCAGATTACCACTGTGGAACAGGTGGTGAGTTGACATGGGTTTAACGTGATGTTCAAGCTTACTGCATTAATAGAGGGACGTGTGTGTATGTGTGTGATGAGATTTGTATAAGTCCACACTACCAGTTTTATAGTGCCAGCCCACAGAGCTAGCATGTCACAGTTTAACATGACTACCCAACTCGGACACAGTAAACTAACTCAGAGCCGACAAGTCTTTGTTTTATCTCTGTTATACGAGCTCAAGAAGGGGTAATAAGACGATCCATATATTAACATCTTTGGTATGACAAAGCAGGGCATCGAACCACCAAACTTCTGTCTCCAAACATTCTCTATCCACTTGAACAGCAGGATAGATACACTTAATATCAGCTCAGTGTCAGGGTGGAGAATAATTTCACATGACATCTGGTCCCCATTGTATCAGTTCTTACATGAATGGGGTCCTGCGACCGATTTCACCATGGAATTTTTGCATGTAAAATTAAAGATACCACCTAATTTAAGATAGGCCTGGCCAAGCTAAAACTACATCCAACTACTATTTGTAACAACTTCATGATGTAGTCTAATTGTACACTGTGGATTTGAATATTCAGAGTAACTGACATAGCGGTAATGAGGGTTGGTGAGGGGAATGTGTGAAAACGTGTCTGATATTTGTCTATTTGTTGTTCAACGCTGCATTGAGCAACATAGCAGTGAGATCACAGTGACCGGTAAATAATCCAGTCTAGACCAGGCAATCCAGCGACTGATACAAGCAACGATCAACGTCATAAGGGTTCGATGACACGCAATCACCAATCCTGACCACCAAATCTATAAACACATTAAGTTCCCTCTCACAACCTGCATAGGTTCTTGGGGATCTGCTCTAATCCAGAATCAAGCAACTGTACTCAAGGCGTTGGGAGGCTTGTGATAGACATGGTACTTATGACTGTGACCGAGGTGGCAGTGAGCGCCTGTACCCACCGCGGCCCTCCACAAAGGCGTTGGGAGGCTTGTGATAGACATGGTACTTATGACTGTGACCGAGGTGGCAGTGAGCGCCTGTACCCGCCGCGGCCCTCCACAAAGGCGTTGGGAGGGTTGTGTTAGACAAGGGTACTTACGACTGTGACCGAGGTGGCAGTGAGCGCCTGTACCCACCGCGGCCATCCACAAAGGTGTTGGGAGGCTTGTGATAGACATGGTACTTACGACTGTGACCGAGGTGGCAGCGAGCGCCTGTACCCGCCGCGGCCCTCCACAAAGGCGTTGGGAGGGTTGTGTTAGACATGGTACTTACGACTGTGACCGAGGTGGCAGTGAGCGCCTGTACCCGCCACGACCCTCCACAAAGGCGTTGGGAGGCTTGTGATAGACTGAAGCCAGAGATGAGATGTGACAGATGAGCTCGTCCAGGAGCGTGGGTTCAATCAGGTCGGTTTCCTCAGAGATGAGAGGCTTCTCAGCTAGAACCACCTCCTTGGCTGCGGCAGGGTCCGTGGACAGCAGTCGCCAGTAGATGTAACCACGGTCACGCAGGTCAGGGTTGTCACTGTCCTACAACACACAGGCACACAGTCAGCAACTGGAACTCACAGACTCTCCATCTCAACATCAGTCCATTTTCCCATACTTCATGTTAAGCTTATTACTTTCACAGGTAAAGGAGTAATAGACATTATCCCATACTTCATATAAAGATTACTGCTTTAACAGGTAAAGGGTAAATAGACATTTCGCATTCTTCATATAAAAATCATTGCTTTAACAGGTAAAAGAGTAATAGACTAATGGTACGTATTCAGAGTAATGTGAATGATAGTCTCACAACTGACAAAGTACCTGGCTAGTTTTAAAGCATTTTTCATATCAACTGATGTGCCACAAAACACTCACCTGTGTAGCCAGACTGAGCACCTGCTGCACCAATTCCTGGGTGTCTGTTGGCCTCTTCAGGAACAGCTTCACAATGGCTGTCAACAGCTGCAGCTGAACCTACAACAGCAAGACAGCAACACATTTACAACAGCAACACTTTCAAAGTACAGAGCTACAGCTAAGCAGCATATTTGCATAAAATACATCCCAAAAATATTCAAAACCCAATTACTTTCAATTAACTTGCGTACAGAAACACATGCATTAAATGAAATCCCTCTCTTTCAAGTGTTTCATTCAAAACATTCACTTTAACATGAACAGAATGTTTTGGGTTAACCCTTTCCTACATGTTCTAGGAAATGTTCATGATACATGCAGACACTGAGACTACACAGAACAACACACAATTTATGCCGTAATGTTGGTTCATAGCCTCCAGAAACATTTGGAAATGAGACTTTTGATAGTGGGCATGTGAGAATTCAGATTGTTTTAACCACTGTGGTTGTTACCTGTGCATTTTCATCCTGGAATCCCTCGAGGAAGCTCTCCAGCAGCTCATCAGCATTGTCAATACGTTCAGCATACTCCCCAATAATCCAGATCATGGACGCCCTGGAATCATGTACAGAGTGACGGAGTTAGTCTTAATGCTGTTTTGAACAGTATTCCAGTTATTTCACAGAATGTCAGCTTAATTTTGGAAGAAAGCCTGAAGTGATGCAGGTTTCGGACGTTTACCACTTTGTGAGTGAGAGAGTTCGTCTTAATGACACTTTGAACAGTATTTCCAGTTCTACCAAGGAGTGTCAGCTTAATGTGGAAGGAAAGCCTGAAGTGATGCAGGTCTCAGACGTTTACCACTTTGTGAGTGAGGGAGTTCGTCTTAATGACACTTTGAACAGTATTTCCAGTTATACCAAGGAGTGTCAGCTTAATGTGGAAGGAAAGCCTGAAGTGATGCATGTCTCAGACGTTTACCACTTTGGTGAAACCCCTGACCATGGGAATGGTGTTGACAAACCTAGAAACATAATGGGGCTGAACTGGGACTTGAACCTTCGATCACAGGTTTCTGGTGTGCCCAAGGGATGGAACTCTACACAACAACCTGTGGTTCCTTAGACGACTAGTCCACCCTGTCCCCATGTATAGAGTGATGTCAAACAGCACGAAGGCCCCAACACTGGACTCATCTCCATCATCAGTGTGTTGGCTACAATCTATGTCTGATAAGTGTCAGTCACTCACCTTGCTTCAGGCTCGTCCAGCGTGTCCAGGTTTTCACAGAGTGTGGCGATGATGCTCTCGTATTTGTTGGGGTATTTACGGAAAATATCCTGGAAAGAAGACAATCAAATGTTAACATTAAGTAAACACATACCAGATTGTTTACTCCTATACAACACCTCCAGGTAAGGTCGTGTCAGGTGAATCCTGAATGAACTTTGACCACCCAATCTAAAACAACCCTCCATTGGTTCTTCGGCCAATCAGATATTAGCTTTCTAAAACATTTCGGCTTCATTTTTTCCCACCTCAATTTGGAAATTTGGAAAGAAACCCCCCACAGAACAACAAATATTCCTTCAATGGTACTTTTTTTGGGTGTAGATACCACTGTGCTCAGAAACAATAGGACATATGAAATATAAACAACAATATAATATTATTGCTACACTTTCAACTTTCAGAACTTGTTGTTTAAGTTTGTTAACACAGAAATCAAATATGCTGGTGTCGTAAGAGGCGACTAACAGGATCGGGTGGTTAGGCTCACTGACTTGGCTGACGCATGTCATCGTATCCCAATTGCGTGGATCGATGCTCATAATGTCAATCACAGGATTGTCTGGTTCAGATTATTTACAGACCGTAGACATATAGCTGGAATATTGCTGAGTGCGGCATTAAACAAAAAACTAAACAAACAAACAAAAAGATATGCTTGTTTGAAAGTTTCTCTTACTTGTAACAGGACTAAAAAAGCCTTGACGAAGATTGTTGTTTTCTACAAAGTTCACCTGACACAACCTTATTGACTTCAATGAGATGTGAACAAAACACATCCTCTGACCCTCTGAACAAAACATTAAAGGAATAAACACACATCACAATCTATTGTTTGTTGATTGTCCAGCTGCACTCAGCCATATTCCAGATGTCAGTGGCCTGTAAATGATGGAGTCTGGACCAGACAAACCAGTGATTGATACTATGAGCCTCTTATTGGGGTCGATGTATAATTTGTATAAATTTGTTTTAATTTCTTTTCAGGTTTTTATATATATTTATATATATATATCACTAGTTGTTAGTTTCACTCAGCTATAACAAAGTGTATCTGACCTGTCTTACCTACTAACTGCCCCATGGCCAGAAGCTTCATTTGCTGATTGGCCAAGCTAACACCTATTGTTAAACTGCATGCTTTGATTACACTGCAAACTCTCTCAGCACATGAACTGACAGAACTGCTCAGACCAGCAAAGAATAAAGATATAATCTTAGATCAGGTGAGTTAAATGGCTATAATCTCCATCTTGTGTTGTATTTAAATAATACAGTATGTTTAAAGTGTTATATTAAGTAAACTAAACTTACGTTATCCAATATAAATGTTGATTATGTCTAATTATTTAAATCTGCATAAGTTAAGGTAAACAGACATAATTTATCACTAACATGTAGTCTATCACTTCAGTGAAATATGTGTGAAGTGTTTTACTTCTAGAATGTCTTAAAAAAGGCTTTGTAATGTACAGATTTCTGATGTGATACATGTGAATCATTGTAAATAAAATGTATGTATTACCCTGTTATTATATGTTAAATAGTGTTTTAGTCTATGTATTATTTATTCACATCAATGACTATGGTGTTGCCTAAGTGTGGCAGTGGGGAGTCACACCTTTGTATCACCTACAGGGTATGCATTGCATTGTTTATATTTGTCTAAGTCTTAAGATGTAATCTTAACGTTATAATCACATTGAATGTAATATTATATATCATTAATTTCTGTCTTAAAGTACAGTATATGTTTATACATACTATGTATTTAGTTTGTGAAATTTTATACAGCCAAATGAAAGGCAACATATACCACCACCACCACCAGGTGGCCCAGTCGTGTTAGGCACCACAATTCTCTGTGCAGAGTTGTGTCCCTTGGGCACGCCAGAAACCTATGATCTTGGTTCGAATCCCCATTCGCCCCCCCCCGATTATGTTTCTAGGTTTGCCAGCACCATACCCGTGCTGGGTTTCACGGTTTGGGTTTTGACTTTGGGTTTCACCAAAGTGATAAATGTCTGAGACGTGAATCACTTTAGGCTTTCCTCCCATATTAACCTGACACGCCATAACTTGATCATGTGGACTAGAGTTAAAAGCGGCGTTAAAACCAACACTTATTCCACCACATAATCCCAACGCTAATCATAATCCACTGAATCTTACATGTACATGATGTTCAATCATATCATTTCCATAATTCTTGTCTCAAGTGACAACATGTTGTTAACGTCCTGTTCTGCTACTGACCTTTATAACGACGATGGCCTCCTGCACCACGTAGTTGACCTTTGTCTGGATGAGGTCAAGGAGCGTGCTCACACAGCGCTCAGCTGCCTGCTCCACTTTGATGGCACAACGCCCGATGGCTCGCACAGACTTCCTCACAAAGTCCACGTCTACCTCTGTGGCATACCTGTCAAGCAACATCCCAGCATCAGGTCATACTTCCAACACAACTACATGTAATCAGTGTGAAATAATTCTAAACGCCAACAAGACAGTAAGGCATGTGACCCATAAATGTTGCCTGCCCATCTTGAAAGATTGTAAAGACTTGACGAAGAACATATTGAAAAGTTGTGAACAATATGAGACAAATCGCGTCTTGATTCAGCAGAAATAATACAAACAATTACTTGAAAATCTACAAGGAGTCAAGATAAACCTGAATATGTGAGTAGTCTTAAAATTATCTGCCAGACAGTCCGGAAGGTAGTGGAAAATTTCATGCAGCCCGACAGAAGTTACCAGCCACAGGCAGTCAGTTATTACAGACACTGCATGTAACCCATTTCTAATCCTCCCCTTTATCAAGGTTCCCCCCAGAGTCTGACCGATCATCGTGTGTGTATCACTGAAACCCACTGCCCGATACCCGTTAATATTAGTCATCACAAACCACAAGCCTGAGACACTGGGGACTGATTATGTCAAAGAGTCCCCCCCCCTCCTCCCCTAGAGTCTGACCGATCAATGTGTGAGTATCTAAGACTACAGAAGGGTGAACCTACTCCTTGAGTTCTGCCAGGACCTGCGCGATGTTGCCCTGGTTTGTCAGCCTGATCATGATGTCCAGTTTCTCCAGCTTGACGTAGATCGGGTCATTGTACTTGACGAAGAACACCTTCATCTCATTCTTCAAGATGTCACCCCTGCAATAAATCCACACGGACATCAGGGACAGAAGTGTACTTCATTGCAAGTGTGCCACCGGGCACTCACAAACATGTTAAGGACAGCCTTTGGAAGATAATCAGCACTCTTAATACAAGGACTTGTACAGGAGCTTGTGTAATGTCATCATGGTAAAAGCAAACATATATATAAACACTGGTGTAATTGAGATGGAACTGTTTCTAGCACCTTGACAAACCAATCAGAATTCCACTCAAGAGTCACATGATACAAATTCAATCTAGGAGTTCGAGCTAAAGGCCCTTGACAGGCAAATTGGGAAAATTTGTCACTTTGTTCACAACTGGGAATTGTTTAAGAGTTCTTATTTTCCTAACTTCAGAGGTATTTTAACATTGAATTTTAACATAGCATTCAACGCAATATGTAAAACTAAGCATTAAAGCCCCTTCCTCTGTATTGGTCCTGCTATCAGTGATATACATGACACCTTACAAAGCCGTACATCAGTCATAACAATAACAGTATGAACTGGGAAATGCTTAATACCAATTTGGGAAATTTTACTGACACGGGCTGCGGACTTGGGGCTGAATATCAGGTCCTGAACAGGCCTTGATAAATCCTTGCAATCTCAAGGCAGTTTCTGTCCAAGTAAAGGTTACCAGTTTTCTTAAACTAAGACTTTCTTGACAACTGTGATCTAATATTTTCACTGTTTTGAAGTTACATAACCCACACTTGCAATCCATTGGAAGCTGAAGCCACTCACCTCTTCTGCACAATGAGGTTGATGTTTCTGAGGGCGACGTATTGTATCTCGGGCTCCGCAGACAGGAGGGTGACCAGGGGTGGGGACAACTTCTTCACCAGCAGCGTCACGTAGTCACTGTTGGGGTCCAGCATCTCGATATACTTCATGATGACCTGCATCAAAACAGACATGTCTCAATGGTCCCACAACGTAACGGGCAGTCGCGTAGCCTAGTGGTTCAGACGTTCCTCATGCCAAGGTCCAGGGTAAAATCCCGACATGGGTACAATGTGTGAAGCCCATTTATGGTGTCCCTCACCATGACATTGCTGGAATATTGCTATAAGCGGAGTAAAACCCAATACACAACACTTAATACAATCTACATCCACCATACATTCAGTGATTTTGCAAGTCACACCAATATTATTGCACTTATAATGCGACATGCGTGCAAGCTTGCATGCTAGTCAGGACTAACGCCGATTTTATAATTTAACATGAATACCCCACTCAGACACAGTATACTGACTCCGAACCGACCAGTCCTTGTTTCAACCCCTTAATGCCGAGTCCAGGCAGGGGAACAACAAGTGCCGTCTTTTAACGTCTTTTGGGTATGATGCGGCCAGGGACTGAACCATGGACCTTCCGCTCTCTGGGCAGACGAGATTTTGCAAGAGACAAATGGCACTGGGACACTGTCATGAGTTTTGATGGAACATTCTTCTGTAGCATTACCAACTTAGAAACAAAATCCTTTGAACATATTGAATGACAGTGAGTCTACATGGTCAACACTGTGTAACATGTATAAACTATAATTAAATTCTATCTAATATATTGACCAATACATGACATAACACATAGCTGTTAGCAAATACGTTTTAGCTTTACAAAACGTTTTTAATTTCATATAATCAAACTAAATACACATGTGTAACATTTATTTCACTGAGACAAGAGGTGAGGTGAAATGGGGTTTAATGTCATGTTCAAGATAATTTCACTTATATTGCATGTGTAAATATGTGTGGCTGTTTGTGCTTGTCCAGGCTGAGATACCATGCAGCAGTTTAACATGTATACCCCACTCAGTATACAGACTCCCTGCTGATGAGACCTTAGTTTATCCCCTTAATGCCAAGCACCAGGCAGGGTAACAACAAATACCATCTTTTAGAGTCTATTGGTATGATTTGGCCAGGGATTGAACCACCGACCTACGGCTCCCCGGACAGTTGTTCTATCCACTAGACCACGGAGGCGGTTTACGACATGAGAGAAACTGTTTGGAAGAGTAAGGTCCTTACCTTGACTGCTGACAGAACCACAGCTGCATTGGCGTGAGCCAGGCGGGGAGACACTCGCTCACACACACTGTCAAGTAAAACAGGGAATGCTTACTTTTCTCATGAACAACCATTTAAAATACAAAATATTAAATGATAATTGTAACAACACTCTTAAACTTTTGTAATTTGATATAAAAGCAGGAGAAATAGTGAAGTCATGAGGCTGCCCTCACCTCTGGGCCTCCTTGTCGTCATTGGGTGTGTAGTTGGAGATAGAATCCAGGATAAACACCTGGCCCCACCTGGAACAAAAGACAATACTTTCTTAAACACCTGTGGTGAAACCCATCTGAGATAACTGGCGACAAACATATATGTGAAATCGAATTTCAGGTCAGAGTACAATTCAACATCTTTATCAGGGTATGATTCAATATCTTTAACAGGTATGATTCAATATCTTTATCAGGGTATGATTCAATATATTTATCAGGGTATGATTCAATATCTTTATCAGGTATGATTCAATATCTTTATCAGGAAATTCAATATCTTTATCAGGTATGATTCAATATCTTTATCAGGTATGATTCAATAACTTTATCAGGGTATGATTCAATATCTTTATCAGGAAATTCAATATCTTTATCAGGTATGATTCAATATCTTTATCAGGTATGATTCAACATCGATCTTTATCAGGTATGATTCAATATCTTTATCAGGGTATGATGGCATTATTAATAAAATAACGTCATATTCAAATTTTGACAATTGGTTTCAGCTGACTTGTTGGAGGAATCTGCCCACATAAGACTGACAACGTACTCTGTGCACTCGTTGAGAGCTGTGAGGAGCTTGTTGATGGTGCCAGAGTTCATCTCAAGCACCTGCTGAGCCGAGGGCGAGGCATCCAGGATCTCGGAGATTGCTGCCACAGCGTTAGCTACAACCTGGCAGAACAACACCACCAGTCAGTTATGAAAAGTCCCATTTTCATTTTTCATCACATCAAATTAAAAGAAGCATGATTTGTGTTAAATTTTACAATAAGTTGTATATTTAAAATAATTATTCCATATTACACAATGCATTTCTTCCCTCTTCTTTCGATCCTATGTAAAAACATGCTTTTACAAAGTTTCAAGCTTCAAAAGAACAAATCACCCCAAGATATCCCAGCATCACCATGGCCACCCCCCAAACCAATGGATCACACACAATAACCCTCTGCACTGCGACGTTCACGACCTGATACGTTAGTCAGACATAACAGCATGAAATCGGGTATAATATGCGTTGTATGTTTTCAAGTATGACATCCTTACATGAACAACCGCGTAGCTGTAAAGAACAATCGATACAGTATTTGACTCATAAATGATCCGGAAGGGGTCCCATTTTTCACGGTGAACATACCTCAACACCACCTTGCTGAAATCTTCATAAGACAAATGGCAATATATTCAGATTCAAAACAAAAATGCCCAAAACTAGTCTGAGAACACACACCCTAACACTAATTCTTTTAATATTATGACAATCCCAAAACACAAATGCTATAATCATTATTCTACCATGAATTTGGAATTTACTCGATTCTGACTGGTCAATCAGAGGCTATTAAATCACAATAAACCCCCTCTGATTGAAACAGCTGGTTTGACGGCCGCATCACCGCGGAAGCTAATATTCATAGAATAGTACTTTTTTCAGTCATTGTCGGTAGGCATAATTAAATAATTATATCTACAATTACAGGTTACAAAATGCACAGATGCGGTTACTACAATATTCAAAGGATGTGTGGCAATACATTTCGTGCATAAAACATGATAGCAATCTACAAAGGGAATGTATTTACGTTTTGGAGACAATAAACAATATGACGTCATAATGGTGACGTGCGATGTAGAGCGAAAGCCTTGCAAAGCTTGCTTTGTTTTCTTTAGGGATTCCCAACTCATGTTAGCTCACCAAGTTGCCGTGCTTATATGCTTTCAATGCCTGTCATACGTTCGAGTGAAGTATTATGGAGTAAACAAACTGCTTGAGTATATACAGCGCCATATTGTGTTCGGTGATTCCGTAATTCAGATTCGATCAGATCAAAACATTCGACTCAACTCATGCCGCTTCACTCAGTATATTTGCTAACACCAAAGAGTTCGCGTTTTATTTTGTCATGGTAGAATGGAGATAAACATACTGTGTTTTCAATGTAGAGCTAGGTTACCTGTAGATTTAACCGCGCTAAATTTAACATTTGAAACCTCACGCTGCGCGTTCGGTTCCAAATTCAATTTAGCGGGGTTAAATCTACAGGTAACCTAGCTCTACATTGAAAACACAGTATGTTTATCTCCTAATTATCTTCATGTAGACTTAAAAAGAGGAATGCAATAAACTTCAGGTAGATTACACAAATGCTATTAATGTGACATATCATATTTGCCATATTAAGCCCCCTGCTCGAATAAGCCCCCTCCTTTCTTCTGAGTAATCTTCTGAGACCTATGTTTAAGTAATCTTTATAAGGGAAGCCATATCAGACAGAAAATTTACATGACAGGCCGTCTGTATTTTCCCAATTTTTTTTTACAGAAAACTGCAGTTTAGAAGGGGCATATAAATGCCTCGTAACTAATATCAAAATAAACTTTAGTCCCATCAACTTTTTAATTAAGTTTATTCGCTACCACTCAATCTCACAAAAAAACTGTAACCTGTTGTGTATAGTTTTAATAAGCACCCCCCACCCCTGGTACATTTGCTCAGGGCTCATATTACGGCCAATACGGCACTGAACAATGTTCTGCAGTGTCCTACCATGGGGTTGGAGTCTGAGAGGAGGTCGCGGAGGAGGTCAAGGAAGCCCTGGTCCTCCACAAGCTGGGCGTTGATGTCATGGAGCTTGGCGACGCACACTGCAGCGGTCTTCCTCACGTAGGGGTCCTCGTCCTTCAGACACTTGCGCAGCGGCTCACACAGGTACTCCGTGATCTTGTCCACCCGGATACACCCCATAGTCCGCACAGCCAGGGCTCGGATCAGAGGGTTGGAGTCTTCACAGTCCTGGAGGGACAAAGGAGAATACACTCTTTGTTGTCTAGCGCCACACTCGGCAATATATCTGCCATAAAACGGCGGCTTTAACACACTAATTAACACACAAACAGGTGATTGATATTGTGAGCAATGATCCACACTATCAACCATGTCCACCATTAAGTTGCCTTGTACAATCAGCCCAGGCAGGGCTCGACCTAGCTATATAAAACATGCATTCTCTAATTGAATAGAGCAACCAAATATTTCGGTCTATTTTGCATTTTTTTTTAAATAATCAAATTTGTATGTCACCGATGCCTACTTTACTAGACAACAACGATCTGTGTACACACTTAATGCCTCTAAGCTTTATGTAGCACACTACTTCACTAGTCCCTGTGTTGTATAATTTGTCATACTTTCTTTGGCTTGACATCATCAACTTGTGGGTAAGGTTATGTGCACAAGTTGTGTCGTTAATTTATGTAAAATCATGACACAGTCATCTGAGATTTGAGATTTTATCTAAATCTATGTTTCAACAATTATAAATCTATGGGACCAAGGTGCAACCTGGTTTTGTCCGGAGCAACTCATCTTCCCGAGGCAAGAGAGCCAACTGACTTTAAAAGTCCAGTTTCCACCCTTGCCGAACTAGGCTGGAATTCCTTGGCTCGATCGCAGCGCCACCAGTGGCTATTATGAGTTATGCCGCATATATGCCTCTCCTATAGACCAATTAGAATCCACCTCTCGTATGACTTGCATTTGCTTCAATCTAAATGGCGACGCCCAGTCAAGACGATCTTATCGATAATCAAGATCTATTGTGATAAAATGGGTCTTACATCGCGAAATGCATCAAATCACGTGAACACCTTGATTAAAAACATGAAAAGATTTGGAAAATATCTGTTGACAACAAGTTGGCGGTGCAAATGATTTGCAAATCATGAAAAGATTTGGAAAATATCTGCTGACAACAAGTTGGCAGCGCAAATGATTTGCAAATCGTGCAATCGACCGAAATCTGCACAACAGTTTACGAACCAGATTTTGATTTCGTTGCGCGATTGAGATTGGACTATGCATAGATTCGTTAGTCCAGCCAAAACGTAACTCCATAATACCAGCCTAGTTCGGCAAGGGTGGAAACTGGACTTTTATAGTCAGTTATCTCTCTTGCCTCGGGAAGATGGGAGCAACTAGGTTTTCATGTCAACATGCACCTGGTGCAAGTTAAATCAAGTTCCTTAAATCGAGGCATTCAGGTTGCTGGGAAACAGGGTGCCACTGATAATCAAGTACAGCACACCATTATTATACCAAAACATTTTACATCTTCCGAATCCTATCCCGCAATGATTACCAGTCAGATAGGTTGTAGGAACCTGTAGATGTCGGGGAAAGTGAGAGTACCTTGACGAACGTGTTGACGGCCATGATGGCCATGTCGGGCTGACTCTTGGCGTAGTTCATCAAGTACAGGTACACCAGCTTCTTCAGCTCCAGGTTGTCGGTCTGCATACAGTTCACAACATCCGGGAACAGAGCACTGAAACATTACCCTCTCCATCACCGGCTGCATACATAGTTACATGGATATTGGAATTAATCTACAAGGATACCTTGTGCAGAGCTCCAGATAACTTTTTGAGCAAATGAGTTTTTACTCTAGGGTTTTTATTTTAATTGGGTTATTACATTTTTCATTGGGTAACCAATATTTTTTCACTCATCTATTCATCACTCTAATTTTTCCCCAAATTAGTGAACATTTTAAGATTTAAAATAAATGATATAATGTTCTAAATATATCGGCTTGACTCGGAAAGTAAGCTCCTTTGTATGCATGCTGAAAAAGCTTCATTGGGTATATACGCGAGCTGTTTTTATACATTTGAGTTTTTCATTTAATGCATGCGTTTCTGCACACAAGTTAATTGAAAGTATTTGGGTTTTGAAAATTTGGGGGGGGGGGGGGTATTTTACGCAAATATGCTGCTTATCTGTTGCTCTGCTTGTGGATTACAAGAGAAATATAGAACTCAGATGCTAACTGTTAAAATCTATTTCCTCTTGGGTGGTAGGGTACATTTTACTCAATATTTGCTTTCCTTGATCTTCCCTCAGATACCATGCTTGGACAATCATAAAGTAATGTTTTGTTTGTCAGTCTTACATAGCATGTCAGAAGAGTTAGTTATATTGCTCTCAACAACAATCTACATTTTTTAACTGTTGTTCACCGCTGCACTCAGCAATATTCCAGCTATTGATGGCAGCCTGTAAATAATAGTGAGGTGAAATCGGGTTTAATGTCGCATTCACAATAAATGCATGCATATAGCGACTGCTTGTACTAGTATGGACTAATGCCGGTTTTATAGCGCCACAGCTTTAATATGGAAACCCCACTCAGACCATCAGTTCATCAGTCCTTGTTTTAATGCTAGGCAGGGAAATAACAAGTCCCATCTTTTAACATCTTTTGGTATGACGTGGCCAGGATCCGAACCCCGACCTTCCACTCTCCGGACAGATGCTCTAAACACTCGATGAGTCTGGACCAGACAAACCAGTGATTTATGAGCAACACCCCACTCTGTCAGGGTTCAGTGACATGTAATCAACCAGTCACCGAGCCACACTACCAGATTTTGTTTGTTTCTTGTTTAACGCTGCACTCAGCAATATTCCAGCTATATGATGATGCTCTGTAAATAATCCATTCTGGACCAGACAATCCAGTGATTGACATAATGAGCATCAATCTAAGCAGTTGGGATAGTTAGTTGCCTCTTACGACAGCATAGTTGCCTTTACCGACAAGCATTGGTTGCTGAAGACCTATTCTACCGAATCTTCATCGGTCAGACCCACGTAGTCATCTATTACGACAAGCATACGTTGCTGGAGATTTAGTATGAGTCCTACCTGACATCCTTGCCCACCGTCATGCTGGCGATGACTTTCTTCACTGCCTCCTTCTTCTTCTCCTTCTTGTCGGAGTTGAGCTCGGCCTTCAGCTCAAATATTTCACCTGTCACACAAGCAATATTGTAAAACATTAGGGCTGCAACGAATACACTATGAGACGAATACGATTCATATCATGAATATAGGGTAACAAATACGAATATTTATTCACCAATACAATAACAAGTCAGCAGTTGATGTATAATTTATTCAATTCTGTGAAAAATAACAACATAAACTATTTGATATGGTTGGATAACTATTAATATATTATACATTTATATACTCCATTTATCCAGGTACTAGTATCTGCTCAAATACGACAATGACCGGTGACCACAATACTGTCAAATTATATATATGAGTGTTGTCTTTAAAGAAGTCTCTGCATATAATATGTTCTTATGGATATTTTTAGGGGCTACAGGGTATGTAGATGCACATGACTGCATATTCGTAAATATTCGATTCTTGTGACCTTGAATAACGAATTCAATTCATGAATGGATACGGTTCGATTCACCGAATACGCGAGTGAATCGTAACAGCCCTATAAAATATGTCTTCATATCTATCTTCTTCGAGGACATATCTGATTTACAGGTGGGTAAAAGGATGTAACGAGTGTCATGAATAAATTAGTATCATATCATACATTTATACACTGCAGGTATCTAGGTACTAGTATCTGCTCAAATGCGGTTTTAATTGTTCCCCGACCAGTGGATGTGTTTGTATTCCAGTTATCATTCTCAACTCCCTGGGGGTATACAACCCTAGCTGCCTACAGGCGCTAGAGTGTTTTTACATCCACCTCACATATCGGGTACCCATTCCCTGCTGGGTGAACAGAGGTGCATTTGTACTAACGTACATATGAACGTATTCGTGTTTCCACTGTACACTAGAGGTAGTGTGAAACTGTAAAGACCTGTAAATATTGTTGGTCTCAAAGCTGAATAACAACCCAGTCACTAGCTGGATACAATCTCAGCACCTGGCGCTTGCTTGCCTGGCGCTTTTGACTGCTTGCCCACTTGCTTTTTGAGAAAATCTACAGAATTCTGATAATTTCACACAGACAACAGAAAAACATATTTGTTACCTTTTTTGGTGGTGGTGAAATATTTGGAATCAGTCATCTTGGAGGTTTTTCACTGGTATACCTTGAGAGAGAAGAGAGAATACATATAACTAGACCAGCTTGCAGGATCTGTGTCACATCCACTTACTATTACCCCCTACATACAGATGACAAAGTATGGCTTATTGGTCAAAAGTTTGGCAGTCCACACTTTTGTTAATTTCTTTTTATGCCACATTGAACAATACTTTGATCAGCTATAACATGATGTGGAACAGTTCAATGTCAGAGGAAAGCCTAAGTTGGCACAGATCTGTCAATGTCATAGATATTCACTAAGGAGAAACCCAAGGATCAGGATGAATCTTGGAATGAAACCAACAAACAGCAGAGCCTGGCACTGTTAAGGGAAGTAACTGTACAGAGAATAACTGTCTTAAATACCTTGACCACAAATGCTCACTCCCATTGTTTTCTTGACTGTTGTTCTTGTAATGCAGTATTGATTGAGTCAGTGAGTATGCTTTTACGCCGCTTTTAGCAATATTCCAGTAATGTCATGGCGGGGGACACCAAAAATGGGCTTCAAGACATTGTACACATGAGGGGACTTGAACCTGGGTCTTCGGAGTGACGAGCGAACGCTTTAACCACTAGGCTACCCCACCACCCTTGCAGTTTTGAGAGATGCAGTATACTGACTCTGAGCCGACCAGTCCTTGTTTTAGACCCTTAATGCCGAGCGCCAGACAGGGTAACAACAAGTACCATCTGCACTCAGCAATATTCCAGCGGTCTGTAAATAATCGAGTCTAGACCAGACAATCCAATGATTGACATCATGAGCATTGATCCATGCAATTAGGATACAATGACATGCATCAACCAAGTCAGCAAGTATGACCACCCGATCCCGTTAGTTGTCTCTTATGACAAGCATAGTCGCCTTTTACGGCAAGCATGGTTTGCGGAAGACCTATTCTACCCCGGATCTTCACGGGACATCTGGATTGGAATTGTCATACTGTTGAATTAGATGCATTCCAGCATAAACAAAACATGCAGCTCTTTACTATTCCGCGATGCACAGCATTATCCAGCATGCACTCTTTATCAGACAAACAGAAACAACAATTTGTTTAAATTTTGGGTTGAGAAATATCGACTCATCCGCCAATTAGGGTACTTTCTGTATTCTGATGTTGGCTAGAGTCCATTACTGTATGTACAGAAATGTACCAGGGGTACACATGTGTAGTACCTGTGCCGACAATGACCCCTGCAGCCAAGATAAGTTTGAACATATGTTCATACTGTCTTGTATTATGAAAAACAACAAAAGGACTTCTTGATAATTGACCTGGAGCCAAATACAAGCTCTGAGACAGGGATGTATATATACCTGGAGCCAAATGCAAGCTCTGAGACAGGGATGTATATATAGCTGGAGCCAAATACAAGCTCTGAGACAGGGATGTATATATACCTGGAGCCAAATACAAGCTCTGAGACAGGGATGTATATATACCTGGAGCCAAATGCAAGCTCTGAGACAGGGATGTATATATACCTGGAGCCAAATACAAGCTCTGAGACAGGGATGTATATATAGCTGGAGCCAAATACAAGCTCTGAGACAGGCCCCGTCAGGGATGTATATATACCTGGAGCCAAATACAAGCTCTGAGACAGGCCCCGTCAGGGATGTATATATACCTGGAGCCAAATGCAAGCTCTGAGACAGGGATGTATATATACCTGGAGCCAAATGCAAGCTCTGAGACAGGGATGTATATATAGCTGGAGCCAAATACAAGCTCTGAGACAGGCCCCGTCAGGGATGTATATATACCTGGAGCCAAATACAAGCTCTGAGACAGGGATGTATATATAGCTGGAGCCAAATACAAGCTCTGAGACAGGGATGTATATATAGCTGGAGCCAAATACAAGCTCTGAGACAGGCCCCGTCAGGGATGTATATATACCTGGAGCCAAATACAAGCTCTGAGACAGGCCCCGTCAGGGATGTATATATAGCTGGAGCCAAATACAAGCTCTGAGACAGGCCCCGTCAGGGATGTATATATACCTGGAGCCAAATACAAGCTCTGAGACAGGCCCCGTCAGGGATGTATATATAGCTGGAGCCAAATACAAGCTCTGAGACAGGCCCCGTCAGGGATGTATATATACCTGGAGCCAAATACAAGCTCTGAGACAGGGATGTATATATAGCTGGAGCCAAATACAAGCTCTGAGACAGGCCCCGTCAGGGATGTATATATACCTGGAGCCAAATACAAGCTCTGAGACAGGCCCCGTCAGGGATGTATATATACCTGGAGCCAAATACAAGCTCTGAGACAGGGATGTATATATAGCTGGAGCCAAATACAAGCTCTGAGACAGGCCCCGTCAGGGATGTATATATACCTGGAGCCAAATACAAGCTCTGAGACAGGGATGTATATATACCTGGAGCCAAATACAAGCTCTGAGACAGGCCCCGTCAGGGATGTATATATACCTGGAGCCAAATACAAGCTCTGAGACAGGGATGTATATATATACCTGGAGCCAAATACAAGCTCTGAGACAGGGATGTATATATATACCTGGAGCCAAATACAAGCTCTGAGACAGGGATGTATATATATACCTGGAGCCAAATACAAGCTCTGAGACAGGGATGTATATATATACCTGGAGCCAAATACAAGCTCTGAGACAGGGATGTATATATATACCTGGAGCCAAATACAAGCTCTGAGACAGGGATGTATATATATACCTGGAGCCAAATACAAGCTCTGAGACAAGGATGTATATATACCTGAAGCCAAATACAAGCTCTGAGACAGGGATGTATATATATACCTGGAGCCAAATACAAGCTCTGAGACAGGGATGTATATATATACCTGGAGCCAAATACAAGCTCTGAGACAAGGATGTATATATACCTGAAGCCAAATACAAGCTCTGAGACAGGGATGTATCCTTCCGTAACATAAGTTCGATCATAACATAAGTTCGATCAGCCATTTTCATCACTTACTCTCGCGTTGTTGTACGAGATTTTGCGGTACCTGGAGCTTTCATCGAGAGGGGCAGCCTTTCGCTTCGACTGGACTAAATATGCTTCGTGTGAAAATGCACAACGTAAGTTTAATCCAAATTATTATAAAAAAATGTACTTTTAACCAAGGATTCCTTAACTCACTTTTTCCACAAACAAAACATCTTAATATTAAAGAAATGAGCCATCGTAAATGTCAGAGAAAACGTCGTCTGCTTTGTTTACTATCTGGTCAATGGAAGTCACATGACACAATAGGTCACGCCCTCGCCAGATTAAAAATATATGGAAGCTTCACTGGGCCATATCTTATTTCGATTTCCACGTAATTTAAAGCTTTTTGGTCGACGTGAACTTTTTATATTAGGGGTTTTAAAGTGTATGCAAGTTATTTCAAAGAATGAATTTAATATTTTAGGCCATCTTCGATGGAGAACCAACAGGGAGGGGCCAGTACCGTCAATATATGTCAAACGCACTAGACAAGGCATATGAAGCTGTTATTGATGGGATGGCTATAAGGAGAGCTTCTGAGAAATTTTGTGTACCGTTTTCAACTTTACATGATCGGATTAGCGGGAAAGTGTCAGTTGACTGTGTCACAACTGGAAGGGAGCCTCTTCTTTCACTTGAGGAAGAAAAGTTATTAGTTGACCACATCGACGTCATGGCTAACTTTGGATATGGTTACTCCAGGGCAGAGGTTACCGCTATTGCCACTGATCTTGCGATCCATCTTGGAAAAAGAAGTAAAGATGATCCACCTCTTTCTATGCAGTGGTTTTACGGTTTTGTTAAGAGATGGCCTGATCTTCGTGTTAAGAAGCCCCGATCTTTAGATCTTCAAAGAGCCAAGGCAACATCCGAGGAAACCATTACCCATTACTTTGATGAACTCGGCAGCATTTTGAAGAAATATAGGTTGGAGGACAGTCCACAGAGAATCTATAATGTAGATGAAAAGGGACTTGTAGAAAATCACGTTCCACCTTCCATAGTTTCAAGTCAACAAGTGCCAACAGCTGTTGTAGCACCGAGGTCAAGCACGACAACTGTCATCGGATGTGGTAATGCGTCAGGAAATGCTATTCCCCCGTTTTTCGTCTTTAAGGGACAAAGAATGCGAGAGGAGCTTTTGTCAGGTTGTACACCAGGATCGACTGGAACTGTTACGGAGACTGGATGGTCAAACACGGAAGTTTTCCAGCATTATCTACAATCTCATTTCAAGAAACACGCTGTCGCCGCTTCTGAAGAGTTTCCGTTGTTGGTCTTGTACGACGGTCACAAGTCCCATATTTCCATTCCACTTATTACCTGGGCGCGTGAAAATAATATTGTTCTATTTGTGCTTCCAGCTCATACTTCACATGTTTTACAGCCGATGGATGTTGGTTGTTTTGGACCCTTTTCTAAGGTTTACAACAACCTTCGTCACAAGTCCATGCGTGAGAATGCTTCATCATCAATTGACAAACACTCGATTTGTGAATTAGCATGCAAGGCCTATAATCTCTCACTCACTACTTCTAATCTACAGTCTTCTTTCCGAAAATGTGGAATCTATCCATTCGACAAGTCAACTACTACCAAAATCAACTTTGCCCCGTCTACAGTCTTTAAACAAGCTTCAAAGTCGAATGGCGAAAACGATGACGGCGATCAAACTAGTTCCTTGACAGATGTTACAACTTTCTTTCAAGACAAAGAAGATGTTTTAAGCAAGAAGGCAGTGCCTACCAAGAAAAGAAACGTTCTCAGTGCCGTTGTTGGTGGTAAGCCGATAACAGAGTCTTCAATTCTGGATAAAATAGTTTCACATCAGGCTAAGACATATGTGCCAAAGAGGAAATCTCAACCACCTAAAACCTCCAAACCAATTTCGAAGAAGAAGAAATGCACCCAGGCATCGCCCCGACCGTCAACAAGCAAAGCGGCAAATAATTCTCCTGTATCTATCAACGATAGCGATCTTTTGGATTGGTCTTCTGACAGCGACAGAGAGGCAGATAATGAAGTGTGTTGTGTTTGCAGCAAACGTGAGCCACAGGCAATTGGCAACTGTTATTCAGAACTTTACACTAGCTGGGCTCAATGCACTCATCCAACCTGTCAGCATTGGGTACACCTTCGTTATTGCACTTCAGTGCGTGTAGTCAGAAGAAACTCAGAATTCTGGTGCCCTTGTCATAACGAAAAAGAAGAATAATATCCAGACTGTATCTTGTGTAAATATGTTAATTTTCATGTTTTCTTCAAATTTTAACATTTGTGTGGGATTTTCTCTAAACATTACAAGAAAAACGATAAATCCGACAACGTGGCATTGTGTGATGTACTGTGACACGGATAGGACTCCATACATTCCACTGTATGCGGGAGAGCGAGCCAACCAATCAGGTGACCGAACTTATGTGACGTTGTTTCTAGGTCATGTTTGTTTACTTCAAACATGGCGGGCGAAGTAGCGATCGATCTGACAGTGGATTTCACTGGAACTTTGCCAATATGGACGCTAATAAACAGTAATTAAGGTGAGCTTTCGTTTTCTTTATGTTTGCTTTGTTTCCCGCTAGTACGGCGCGGGATTGCTTATGTGATCGAACTTATGTTACGCAAGGATATATATATATGGATACATATGAAGATCAAGGGTAGTACTGGTCTTCCATTTCAATTAAATGCATAAGTTTCTCACTCACATGTGTGCTAATATGGACCACTTGGCTTTAGTTAACAAAAGCTTAGTGAGCACAGGCTGTTTAAGCACATTGGAATGTTAGATTGCATATAACTATGCTAACATGGTTAACAATACATGCAATATGAAGTTTATGTTTGGAGTTTTCATTTAACAAGCATGTTGTTCATTTATAAATGTACACATAATAATGATATGCAACCGTCATGGCCATAGAGCCTAAAATAATGTTATTATTAAGATACACAGAACATCAGTGATTGCAGTGTGAAGGAGAATTAAACTGTCCAATTGGGGGTGTGTCTGACTGATTGTGGGTGACAAAACTGAAACAATAAAGGAATTAACTAAACTGAAATGGATCGAAGCCAATACAATAATAACACATGCATCATCGTGAAGATTTACATACCCCAGAAACGACTCTCAACTCTGTGGGTTATACGCTCACACTTACAAATGTACTGACTAAATGTTAATTATACAGGACACCGTCATCAAACCGGAAGTGGACTCATAACTTAACCGGTTCCGCAATCAGTAAGTCCGCAACGAATAAATAAAAATGGATTGAAATCGTGATAAAATTGGTAACTCAAGGTTGCATAACATTCATAAAAATATTCTCAAGTCCCTAGAATATAAAATATGTGAAAGGATTCGACGGATTTGAAAACCTACCTCCTGTTAAATTTACAGCAAAGCGCTTGCGCGTTGACCTTCACTTTCTGCCGACCTTTGACCTAACAGGTGCTCGGAAAACGGAAACGATCAGGCTTTGAGCTTGTTTATTTTGATTGTGTGTATATTTCCAAGTATTCATTTGGAAATTTACTTGCCAAGTTCTGCAATGTGTAGCTACACAGTCAATGAGTAGATAAAGACTTTGAAGAGATCGTGACAATCTTCATTTTACGTTAAGGAGTGTGTGAATGCAGAGACCATATAATCTATTATATGGTCTCTGGTGAATGGCAGAAAAATAAACACGAACATGTCGGTATACTAGTACTAGTACTGCTAGTACACGCAAATACGCGGTGTCCAACGACCATTCGACATGGCTGAACATGGCGCGCACATCACGTCAGCTAGTGTGACTGATCGACCAACGATATTTGAAGTTCTTGCTCAGGAGAGTCTGATGGTGACCGTGAGACCTGCACTGAAACACGCAGTTAGGGTTGGTAACAATTAATATCAGCTGATCATGGATGCCGTCAACTTGTCAACTCTTAAACATAGACACTAGAACATATAACCATTTAGCTAACCCGTTCATAGATTCCTAGCATGTTGGTACTTAAAAAAACAAAACTAATAGAGTGCATAGAGAAGTGCTTAGAGAGAGCTAAGAGAAAGTAAAGATGGAATTAATGTATTGTAAAACATTGAAAACTAATACAAAAACTGAATGAACCCCGACAAGTAGGGCTGGGACGGGTCCAAATTTACTACCCGGGTACCCACCCCCCTATTACCCGACACTACCTGTATACCTGCTGTAGGTCTCAAGAGGTAGGTACAAACTGTCCGATTGGGAAAAGCTCTGGTAAAATATGTTTATAGATACATGTATGAAACTATCTGGTGTATTCACTGAAGTTGCCTGAAGTTTTATTTTTATTCAAACATATAAAAGTCAGAAGGAATGGGCGTAGTAGTCAGGAAGAACTGCGAACACAAGTGACTTGTAGCTTAAACATAGAGTTTTAAATACTTTTTGTCATTAAACAATATATCACGTGACTAACCATGGGTCTGGGTAGTCCTGTGGGTACCAGGGTCCTACTCAGTTTGACCCGAGTTACCCGTACCAGCCCTACTAATATGTATACCATGACCCAAGACACAGGCTATAGGACTAAGAGACCAACCAGTCTCATTTCTAAGACCTTTGAGATCTACATGCAACGCTAACTTTTAATATCGATGATGCTTTCATCATATGTACATGTACAATTTTAATACATCTTTGTCATTAAATTCTAGGTGGTTGCTGAAAATCGTCCTGCATTGTTTGGTTGGCTCCTGAGAAATTATGACGAAGGTTTCGCTTTCTTAGACTTCATTGTTCAGCATTACCACCTCCGGAAATACAGTAAGTTTTGGCTTAAACTGTCTGTTACCATTGCTTCCTCAGCTGCCATGGACAATGTTGAAATGCCATATTTCCATGGGTTTTGCGGTAGATCAATCTCATTAAAATCAGATCTTTGTTCTCGCTACAGCTAAACAAAGATCTGAGGACATCCCATTACGGGTCACTTCAAACAGACCTTGCGGAAACTTTGAATGACCAATCAGAAGGCAGCTTTCTCGTGCTTTACGGCACTTATTTCAAATGGGCGACTACGCTTTGAAACATATTTTGACAAGTTCTTGATTACAAATTTGAAACCTGAACAACCTGACATTCTGGAATGGCTAATAGATGGTCTAGATTGTATGGATTCTGTTGTTAAACCTGTAACAATCGTTTGGAGTTAAAGTTTTCGAGGTTGCACGATTAGAAATCACATGCCGATTGTCACTTTCATAATCTGGTAAGCGATGCTATGATTTGTCTGATGAAAGGGCGTTCTGACGTGACCCCTAAAGGGATGTCCTCAGATCTTTGTTTAGCGGTAGCGAGAACGGAGGTCTGATTTTAATGAGATTGGCGGTAGATGATATAAGTCATACTCATAAGTGGCAACTAACATGATTGAGTTGCTGACTTGGCTGATGCATGTCATTGATGCTGATGATGTCAATCACAGGATTGTCTGGTCATATAGCTGGGATATTGTTGAGTCCGGCTTTAAACAGCAAACAAAACAAGTCATACAGTGAGTATGACCATTGTTGGAGGCCGCTGTCAATCATTAATACTTAAATTTATAAATATTATACTGCTCTACAGATGGATCTTTTGCTGAGAACTTCTATGACTTGAAGCGTGTCCCATCCGGAGACCCATCTGATAGATTATCTCGCAGACATCACTGGCTTTCTGTCTTCTTACTGGTAGGGAGAGGAACTGCATATGTTTACAAATTATAAGAGATATTGCAAATTCCCCAATTACATAATTTATGTGCCACTAACTGCTGCGTCTCAGGTTGAAAACGAGGTAAGACTAGACATGAAAGTATAGCATGCACTTTACATTGTAAAATAGCCGAGGGGGCACGGGTGGCGCAGTCATCTAAGGTGCAGCAGTTGGCTGTGCAGAGTTGTGTCCCTTGGAAATGCCACAAACCTGTAATCATAGGTTCAATCTCATTAATATCAGATCTTAGTTCTCGCTACCACTAAACAAAGATTTGACAAAGAGAACTAAGATTTGATTTTAATGAGATTGTCATAGGTTTGAATCCCAGTTCCCTGATTTTGTTTAGAACTAGGTTTGTCAGAACCATCTAAGACCTGCATCACTTAGCATGCTTAGGGCTTTCCTCCCACAAGCTGACACATCGTGATATTACAGGAATACTGCTCAAAGTGGCGTTAAACCAAACTGTAATCCAGATAGGAGCGGCAATGCAATCTGACTGACTGAAACATGTTGCTAAACACGCTAAATGAGATTCAAACCCTGGCAATCTTCTGGACTTTTAACATGTTAGACTACGTATGAACGTTTTCTTTGAAAGTAACATGACCAAAGTTTAAAATACATGGCATCCATTATATTGTTATTAATATTTATCAGAAAAATAAATGAATTATGAAGTCCACACCAAATTAAATTTCTAGGTGTCAAATACTCAATAACACCCACAAATCTGAAAGCACATGTATATCTCCTTGTGTGTGTTGTGTTTCAGGTTGCAGTGCCTTACATCAAGACTAAGCTAGACCAACTGTTTGAAGATCTGCGACATAAGTATGGCACAGATGGGAGATCGGAGGTGTGTAGCCTTGTGCACAGTTATACAGGGTGATTCCCCTATACGATAGACTTCCAGGGATGTATCTAGACCTGCACAGAGTTCGATAGGGGCAGATGGGAGATCGGAGGTGTGTAGCCTTGTGCACAGTTATACAGCGTGATTCCACTATACGATAGACTTCCAGGGATGTATCTAGACCTGCACAGAGTTCGATAGGGGCAGATGGGAGATCGGAGGTGTGTAGCCTTGTGCACAGTTATACAGGGTGATTCCACTATACGATAGACTTCCAGGGATGTATCTAGACCTGCACAGAGTTCGATAGGGGCAGATGGGAGATCGGAGGTGTGTAGCCTTGTGCACAGTTATACAGGGTGATTCCACTATACGATAGACTTCCAGGGATGTATCTAGACCTGCACAGAGGCAGCATCCCCTCATGGACAACTAAAATTGAGATTGTGATTGCTTACAATGTGTGTCATTGTATCCATGACTATCATGCTATCTTATTGTTGCCGTTGTTGTTTTAATGCCATGCTTATCCCAATATCCCAGCTATACGATGGCGGTCTGTAAATGATCAAGTCCGGACCACAAAATCAAGTGATTGACATCATGAGCATCGATTCACACAGCTAGAAAACAATGACATACAATCAACCAAGTCACCAAGCATTATCCCAGCTATAAGATGGCGGTCTGTAAATGATCAAGTCCGGACCACAAAATCAAGTGATTGACATCATGAACAACGATTCACACAGCTAGAAAACAATGACATACAATCAACCAAGTCACCAAGCATTATCCCAGCTATATGAGGGCGGTTTGTAAATGCAGTGAACTTCGTTTATCATGTTTATAACGAACACGCTTATAACGAACTGACGGATATAACAAACTATTTTTTGGTCCCGCCCATTTGCTGTGTATATTCCGTACATTTGCTTATAACGAACTACGGTTATAACGAATTAAAATTAGTGGTCCCTTTGAGTTTGTTATAACCGTAGTTTACTGTAATCAAGTCTAGACCACAAAATCCACTGATTGACGTCATGAGCATCGATCTACACAGCTATGATACATTGACAAACAAGCAAACAGGTCAGCAAGCCTGTTGCCTTGTACGACAAGCATAGGTTGCTTGGAATCAATATTCCTACCTGAAATCCCCAATGTGGACTCATGATATCAACCACTAGTTTGTCTGGTTCAGACACAGTTACTGCCAGGGTCGTTGTGATAGACCTGTCATTAAGCTGACTGATGTGTAAAACAGCATTGACTTGTTTCTGTTCTGCCAGATTAGAACACCCAGAGGACAGGTCATCAGGGCATTTCTGTCCATGTATCCATACGCTCACATGACCTGGGAGGGAACATGCTTGGTGTACCAGGTGAGCTACATGCTCGGGAAAGGGGCGTGGCACTCCCCCTTCCTACACCTGTCTGGCACTCGTCTGCGACACCTCGATGAATTTGACCTTGACAGGAGTGTGGGGACAGTCAACAGTAACTGGAGCAAGTCTAGGTAGGTTAGGAAGATCTTGTTGAACATGTTGAATGTAATGGCTGAACATGTGATATTCTCGGAAAAGGGTGGCAGAGGGGTTTGTTTCTTTTTAAAAAAAACCGATCTGTTTCTGGTAATACTGAAAATAATAATATGTCTCTTTCATGTCTTTTGTGCCAAAACAAATTGTTTAATGGACATGCTGGATGTTCAGAAACATATTGGAGGCAGTTGAGGACCGCCTCCGTGGCCTAGTTGTAGAGCATTCGCCCGGAGAGCGGAAGGACCGGAGTTCGATCAAAAGACGTTAAAAGGTAGTACTTGTTGCTACCCTGCCTGGCGCTGGACATTAAGGGGCGAAAACAAGGACTGGTCAGCTTGGAGTCAGTATACTGTGTCTGAGTGGGGTATTCATGTTAAACTGAGGCATGATATCTTAGTGGGCTAGCACTATAAACTCAGCATTAGTCGACTAGCACAAGCAGCCACGTCGTGATATTGCTGGAATTTTGCTAAGACCATACATATATAAATACTTGTGTTGGGTTAAGGTCCTACTGTACATGCATGAATTAGGTGAATGAGGGTAGAATGTGGTACTTGGGTTCATTAGCATGGTTATTTTAACTCATTTATCATAAGCTATGATGAATTTCAACAGTTATTTGATCAAAGAGTGGGTAATACTTTGTTCCAGTGTGTCTGGGAAACTAGGTCTGGCGTTGAAGATGTGTGGAGGTATGGCAGCAATGGTGTTGTCGTCAGGACTGTCAGTCGGCATGTTCTTCCTACAGTTCCTGGACTGGTGGTATGCCAGTGACAGCAAGGCTGCCTCCCTCACTGCACTGCCCATCCCCGACCCTCCACGGGTGAGTACACAGTCCTGCCCATCCCCGACCCACCACGGGTGAGTACACAGTCCTGCCCATCCCGACCCACCACGGGTGAGTACACAGTCCTGCCCATCCTGACCCACCACGGGTGAGTACACAGTCCTGTCCATCCCCGACCCCAACCCACCACGGGTGAGTACACAGTCCTGCCCATCCCGACCCACCACGGGTGAGTACACAGTCCTGCCCATACCCGACCCAACACGGGTTAAGCATTAAACCCTACTCACTCACTCACCCACCACTTAATAAGAGATAAGTGAGTTTGTAACCACTTTGCAACTTGTGGCCCAGTCGTCAAAGGTGCTGCGATTCGCTGTGCAGAATTGCGTCCCTTGGGCATGCCAGAAACCTATGTTTCTTATTATTATGTTTCTAGGTTTGTCAGCACCATACCCGTGCTCGTTGGTTACACGGAAGTGGTAAAAGTCTGAGACCTGCATCACTTCGGGCTTTCCTCCCACATTAAGCTGACACATTGTGATATAACTGGAATACTGTTAAAGCAGCATTAATCCCAACTCACTCACTCACTCACGGTTTTTCCATGAAGCAAGGGGTGGAGAGATAGATATCACAGATTGATTACTTCTTGACTTGATTCAAAATATATGTACACCTTTATTGTAAGGATGGATTGATGTCATAATTTATTAATTTCACGATTTGATTCAAACAATTCGTTCACTTTTGTTAAGTAAGGATGAAGAGATGGACTCTATTTTCGTTTTCCACCTTTTGTATCACATGCCCATTTGTTATGATCTGATTTTGTCATGTTTGATAGGGTGACCACAATCTAGATGGAAGAGGGTTGTCTCCCTTGGTTTGCCCGATCTGTGGAAGAACCAGAACCAACGACACTGCCTTGTCCGTATCAGGGTGAGTGCCACACATACCAAATTGTAATGTCTTTAATTGTGTGCATGTTTTATTAAAAGCATTGCCAGATTTGCTGCTACAGATATTATTGAATTATTGCATGTTATACTTCAATTTTTATTCATTCGATCTCCTCCATGGTATAGTGGATAGAGCATTGGCTCGGAAAGGGGAAGGTCTGTGGTTCAATCCCTGACTATGTTGTGCCAAAATGTTAATAGATGGTACTAATTGTTAATCTGCCTGGTGCTTTTCACCTCACCTCACCACTTGTTTCAAGTCATAGACATATTGTATTTGGCATCTGGGGGTGAGTGAGTATGGTGATGTAAAAGGCGACTATGTTTGTTGTAAGAGGCGACTAACGGAATGGGTGGTCAAGCTCGCTGACTTGGTTGATGGATGTCATCATATCCCAATTGCGCAGGTAAATGCTCATGATGTCAATCTCTGGATTGTCTGGTCCAGACTCGATTATTTGCAGGCCGCCATCATATAGCTGGACTATTGCTGAATGTGGCGTTAAACAACAAACAAACTCACACCTGATACATATGCTTATGTTTCTATTTCCAGGTATGTGTTTTGCTACCCATGTATCCTTGGTTACGTGAAACAACATGGCCAGTGCCCAGTGACTCAGTTCCCCGCCACGCCCGACCACCTCATAAAGATCTTTGTGCAGGACTCCTAACACTGGGGTCTGTGTGAGTGAGATGTGTGGTGTGTGTGTGAGACCAGCACTCACACCAGAGACGTGATGTAAGTGAATGAGAGGCATGAGGTGTGCGAGTGAGATCTGTGTCTGAGCATGTGAGATGTGTGTACACAGTGTCTGAGACCAGCAGTCAGTGTGAGACATTTCATGTTTGTGAGTGAGACATGAGGTGTATGTGAGACCAGCAGTCAGTGTGAGACATTTCGTGTTTGTGAGTGAGACATGCGAGATCTGTGTATGAGACATGTGAGATGTGTGTAGGACCAGCAGTTAGGGTGAGACATTTCGTGTTTGTGAGTGAGACATGCGAGATCTGTGTATGAGACATGTGAGATGTGTGTAGGACCAGCAGTTAGGGTGAGACATTTCGTGTTTGTGAGTGAGACATGCGAGATCTGTGTATGAGACATGTGAGATGTGTGTAGGACCAGCAGTTAGGGTGAGACATTTCGTGTTTGTGAGTGAGACATGAGGTGTATGTGAGACCAACAGTCAGTGTGAGACATTTGGTGTTTGTGAGTGAGACATGCGAGATCTGTGTATGAGACATGAGGTGTGTGTGAGACCAGCAGTTAGTGTGAGACAATTGGTGTTTGTGAGTGAGACATGTGAGATCTGTGTATGAGACATGTGAGGTGTGTGTTGGACCAGCAGTCGGTATGGGTGAGACTAACCAAGTGGGAGATGGGTGCAGGTGAATTACCAACCCTGCAGGAAGTTTAGGACCACAAGTGGACTGTATCAACAATCTTACTTACTCCAGTGAACTTGAAACAAGGAATGTTTGTGTACATCTTTACTCAGGCAAATTTGTTCTCAAGACAGCTTGTGTAAAACCAAACACTCTAGATGAGAGATGGAGCTGATGTATATGAGACGTGCAAAATAATACATCTTGAAAAACTCTTTCGGTTAGAACATTTTGACAAAGATTGGTGGATTGCACGAAACAAACCTTTTTTTAGTTGCCTATCTTGCTCAATGGTCAAGATAAGTTTGGTGAAAGGGTTAAGAACTTTGAAGCATGTGATTGGTTAATGTATGTGTTGTTTTGTTTGTTGTTATGGCATTTCTTAATCGTGACTATTAAACTGACTTGTTATCGATAGAATACGTGTTGTTATTTCACTCACTTCTGCCACAGTTGTACAACCAGCAACTCCTCTGTGCTGAACAGGGTGGTGGGGTAGGTTGGTGGTTAAAGTGTTCGCTTGTCACGCTGAAGACCTGGGTTTGATTCCCCACATGAGTACTATTTGTGAAGCCCATTTCTGGTGTCCCCTCCCGTGATATTTCTGGACTATTGCTAAAAGCGGCTTAAAACTATACTCAATCAAATGTGCTGTACATCATTTCCACGATGATGCAATGATGAAAATGTGTGGACTAAGGGAGATAACTCTAGACATATCTTTGGCAGAACACAGTCCAATATTCCCTCTTTGGACATGTTTGGGAGATAGTTACAAAGATGTAGGTTACATAATTTCCTGAAATAAGCGTGTTTATTATACCTTGACCACAATATTGTTTACTTAATCAATATTCAATACCATTTAAGGTGTTTACTATTTTGTGAGCAAATTGTGTTACCTTTATGTTTCTAACTAACATTAGGCCAGACCAAATAAGTTACTTTTTTCCCGATTTTTATCCCCCAAATACCCCAAGACCAGTGATAAAAGAAAAACTAAAAATCATCTTTTCAGAAAGAAATAGTACGATGAACTCCAGTGGGATTCTGGGTTAGAAGTGGTCCCCAGCAACCAAAACTAATCTAAAGAGATGATCACTGGATTGTCCGGACTCCATTATTTACAAGCATCTGTCATAAGCTGTGCACACGCATACACACAGGCACACTGTTGAGTGTCTCTATGTTGGACAACATTATGTCTTTTGCTTCAGGTGAAGTGTGCTGTAACGTGTGGACTATGTCTCTGCATCTGGCTTTTTTCGTTTCTCATGTTTAAAATGATTACAATCGATCTGTTAAAAAAGTCATTAAGTTGGTCTAACGGTCCCCAGCAACCCACGCTTTAAAGAGGCGACTAGCAGGATCGGGTGGTTAGGCTCGCTGACTTGGTTGATGCATGTCATCATATCCCAATTGAGTAGATCCATGCTCATGTCGATCACTGGATTGTCTGGTCTAGACTCAATTGTTAACAGACCGTCGTCGTAAAGCTTGAATATTGCTGAGTGGCATTAAAAACAAACAAAACGATCCCACAAACTTTGAAAACTGAACAGTGAAAACGTGACAGTAAAACCCTTCTTTTTTTCAATTTAAAATTTCATGTTAATTTGTCATTGAGTGGTGTAGCCTGTGTGTAATTGGAGTAATACGTTTGCTCATTGTTTAACGCTGCACTCCGCTGTGTGAGGGTGTAAATAATCGGATCTGGTTGATTGATATGAACAACTATCCACCCCGTCCAGTACACGGAGCCTGACCACCACATCTATTTAGTCCCCTCACAACCACCTTAGGGGCCAATTTTAACCGGAATCCACACAGTATTCAGTGCATAGGCCTACCGTATTCGACGTAATAAGCGCCCAAGGCGCTCTCAAATTTGAAATAGGGGGCTCTTATTAGAATATTATTTTGGTGAAATAAAACAGTTGAAAGATCGTAAATTTCGTGGTTTATGCTGACAGCCTGAAATGTTTATATACGACAGATATATTTTCCAGAATTTAATTGCCCATAATTAAGGTGCATATAACACACGACTGCGTGTTATAGACGAATAAAAAAGTCTTGTGTACATTGATCAATCGGAAGTGGTGCTAATTGGGATTGTTCACTAGCCAATATATTAGAAAATATCGCCTTTGTCGCTTATTACGTCGAATACGGTATATGGAATTGTCGGTACCATATGGAATAAGCAAATACTCACGAAGCCTAATGATGTCACTTTGGTAGCATTTATTTATTTTTTGAAATCGAAATTTCTTGTTATTTCAATTATTTTCTCAAAATTTCTAGTTCTTTATCATTACTTTGATTATTCTTTTGTTATTTCAATTATTCTCTCGAAATAACGAGAAAATAAACGAAGCAACGAGAAAAAATCGAAAATTCATGCTTGTAATAGGCGACTAACGGGATCGTCAGGCTCGCTTACTTGGTTGATGCATATCATATCGTGGATCGATGCTCATGATATCAAACACTTGATGTCTGGTCCAGGCTCGATTATTTATAGACCGCCGTCATATAGCTGGAATATTCCTGAGTGCGACATTAAACAAGAAACAAATAAATAACAAATATATATAAAAAAATGCAACCAAAGTAGCAAAATTAGGCTTTCGTAAATACAATTCAGGTTTTGGGGATTATTTTCCCTGAAGACGATCACCTTTACTGTAGAAAGAAATATATGACAACATGTTTTGAGGTGACTGGGCGATGATCAGTTCTTGTAGACGTGCGTGGGGCAAGTAGCAACGTTTAAGTGCTGATCGTTTATCATGAGGCTTTTGCCCTGCCATTTCGATATTGTCACTGGTATTAGATGTTGACGGATTTAGCGTCTCAATGTGGCTAAAATGTTCCCCGACCAACTCGTAGCGGTGATTCAGATCGACTAGTGTTGATAGAGGCATTTTGAGTGAGAGCGAGTTAAAACGACGGGGATTAGGAGGGCGCTTTCGGTATAAACATTTAAATCTGGCACCTGCCATTGTGAAGTCTTGATTTGTCAATGCTCGTGTTTGTGTTTCGTGGAGCGGTGTCCTGTATATAAGGAAATGTTGAACTGCTGTGTGTTAAATATTTAGTTAACAATCACAGCGTTAATCACGCAGGTTTATTTGATGCTATCAGAACTTTAGACGGCCACTTCGGCACAGTGTAGCGTGAGTGTGAAATGCAATTTCGAATAGCCGCTGCTTTAATATACCCGTTTTTCTAGCACTGAGTCGAAATATGTGGACCTATACTACTCAAAAGAAGTTAAAGAACACCCTATTCTTTCATATTACCTAGTTTGTTTATTTGTTGTTTAACGCCGCACTCAGCAATATTCCAGCTATATGACGGCGGTCTGTAAATAATCAAGCCTGGACCAAACAATACAGTGATTGACATCATGAGCATCGATCAACGCAACTGGGATGCGATGACATGCATCAAGCATAGTCGCCTTTTACAGCAAGCATGGGTTGCTGAAGACTTATTCAATCCCGGATCTTCACGGGTATTTCATATTACTATAGTTAACATGTCATGGCGTGACATTTAGTGATATATTGCTGGAATATTGCTACAAGGCGTACAACCCAACTCACACAGTGATTGGACGGGTGTTCTTTATCTTCTTTTGATTAGTATTATGTTTCATTGGGTACACCAAGCGTGAGGTTGAATAAATATGCAGTTGAGGGGCGGCCGGGTAGCCTAGTGGTTAAAGCGTTCGCTCGTCACGTCGAAGACCCGGTTCGATTCCCAACATGGTTACAATGTGTGAAGCCGTGATATTGCTGGAATATATAGCCAAAAGCGGCGTAAAACCAAACTCACTCACTATATGCAGTTGTAAGTAGATGTCACTGCTTTTCTTTTTCTTGGGCGTTGAAATTCACGACATCATACGGATCCTTATTGATCATAATAGATTGGATATTTGAGGATGGTCCAGTCCAAGAAATCGCTGAATGTGTGTGCAGCTTAAAGTTGCTATGACCGCAGTTCAGCAAACTGCAGGTTTTCAAGTGGAGAGAAAATGCATAGCACTAGTACGAGCGGCACACCGACTGTTGACTTTATCATCAAGTCATGGGCGGCAACGCAAGGAAGTTCTAGTAGCATGAGATATTGTTTTTTTTAAGTCCATGGTATAAATGAACCACCATGAGACAGATATAGCCCGGGAACATTGGATTTCACCCACACGTGGATATACCAGCACTTCCAGTAATGTGTGGAAATATATGAACAATGTATTGCATGGGGTACACCAAGCTGTGAGTGAGTTTCACAGATTTTCTTTTCCTGGCGTTGAAGTAAGTGTGTTTGTTTGTTTGTTATTTAACGCCGCACTCAGCAATATTTCAGTTATATGACGGCGGTCTGTAAATAATCAAGTCTGGACCAGACAATCCAGTAATTGACATCCTGAGCATCGATCCACACAATTGGGATACGATGACATGCATCAACCAAGTCAGCGAGTCTGACCACCCGATCCCGTTAGTCGCCTCTTACGACAAGCATAGTCGCCTTTTACGGCAAGCATGGGTTGTTGAAGACTTATTCTATACCCCGGATCTTCACGGGTCGAAGTGAGTGATTTAAAATGTAACGTTACATGGGCATTATCCTGGCGTTGAGAGTGACAAGAGGGCCCTGTACCTTGTAAGGTAAACCATGGCTATTCGGATGTGTGAAATCTGAAATTACTAGCATCTGTGATGTAACACACACACACACACACACACACACACACACACACACACACACACACACACACACAATAAACGCGCGCGTGCTCATTAAACATGTAAATACCAAAATATGGAAACTCCGGGCTCCTCCTTTGCAAATACCCAAGTAGCTTCATATGTGTAAGATTTTACCATGGAACCCATACCACACAGCACATCCTCGATACTCCAATGTATCTTGATAAACACCCACGACCCATTTCGTGACTTCGTTTGTCTGACTCGAAACATGCGACGCTAAAAATAGCCATCCAATGAAATGACACCCATGAGCGAAAACAATTCTTTGCGGATTTACAGATACGACAGATGGAGGGATTGTGACGTCACTTCCGAAACGAACCTATGGTATCGAATGGATCCAGGGTATTTATCGGATTCATAATACACTGGACTATAGACTATCAGGGGACTAAAACAAGGACTGGTCGGCTCGGAGTCAGTATACTGTGTCAGTGGGGTATCCATGTTCAGAACTGCGGCATGGTATCTCAGAGGGATAGCACTATAAAATCGGGAATAGTCGTGCATGCACGTTGATGTATAAGTGCAATAATCTTGAAAGCGACGTTCTGACGTGGACTTCCTCCATTTGTAGATTGTAGTGACTGGTGCAGATAGCAGCCAGTAGGTGGTGCACTTGACTGTCACTAGGGGGACCTAGCAATACCTCCTCCCACCAACAGCTATGATAACGGTGTGAGAAACATAGGAAACAAAGTGAATTTGACAAGTTTGTTTTACTATTAAAATATGTCTAATCAGGTTTAATAACGGACAGTCAGATGAATAGTGTGATCACAATGCTTTGTGATGAATACTTTTTTGAGGCATGTGAAAGCCCTTACTCTACATGGACAATGCAGCTATTAACGTGAAATTGATCGCATTTCTAACACAAAGCACTTTCAATAGCCAGTACATTTATAAGCCTCAGTGTAGACATGAAAGGAGAAGATGGTTGATGGGTGTGTGACACATATCGATCTATCGATTTCAAGTCCACTGATCCCTGAGATCGGCTTGCTGACGACAGCAGTACGGGTTCATTGCACGTCCGTCTCGCAACCCTCAAGTGCAGGCCTACACATTGCGTATTGGCTAATAAACACCGCGGTTGAATATTTGTTCAAAAATGATATATAGTTGTTGAGAGGAACGACAAGACCCCTCGCCGAGTGACGGACAAGTGAGACTCACAGTGCGAACGAGTCGCGACTCTTGGGGGGTCAAGTTAGTTACGGCGACCGTGCCCCGCACCCCGATAGGTGGAAAGTTCCAGTCATTGTGCAGGTCGTTAGAGCCAATTTATGGACTGGCTGTCTGGGAGTTGGATGGATACCCGATTCAGAGCTGCACTTATAACTACCCGTCCGTCTGTTGGTGCGACGCAGATCCAGATATAGAGAATAGGGCTTTAATCTTAATGTTGTTAGTCAATTTGGTGCGTTCTGTTTAAAACAGAAATGTGTCTTTTCTTACAAGTTTCTTTCTCATTTTGTTTACCACAGTTTTGTTTGAAATGAATTAGTGGCTTTATATTGGGTTTATGTGAATTTGAAATCCTCACGAGTGCTGGTGATGTGTGAGACAATGCCGCGGGGTGTTCGTGCAGTTATACCAGGGACTGAGGAGCTTGTATTCCGCCAGCCCTATGTAGCCGGAACGGTGGTATCAACATGTGCCCGGGAGGGTCGGGGACGGGCCCGTGCCTCCTACTCCCACCCCCGGCACAACAAGAGGATATCCATCGACGAATGTCCAATGATGCTGCTTCCCCGGGCCCAGGTGAGACACAACTTCAACGCCTACACGCTGCGGCGGAGGTTCACGACGGTGGCCGACAACGGCTTCCAGGACCTGCAGCTGTCCACCATCTCTGTTTCCGACTGGGTGGAGGCAGGGGGACGCCCCACCCACAAGTCCGCGCTCAGGAACCCTGGGTCACGGAGAAAGAGTGAGGCAGACAGTGGGTTCGGATCTCTGAAGCGGTGCGTGACGTTTGAAGACCTGAGTGAATCCTCGTTGAACAGATCCCCCGATGAACTCTCCACATCATCCGGAGGTGATAACAAGCCCGGGAACAGGGATGACGACGGCGGCGAGTCTGTCCTCTCGGCCGCCAGTTACGAGGACAGGAGGACATATGACCTCCCAGAACATCTTGACTCGTTTGGGGATAACGACAAAGTGTGTGTTGCACCAAATAAGAAGAAAAAGAGAGAACAAGAACCCCCTCCTCATCCTGAAGACAAACACCACCCGGGGGACTGCAACTCTTGCCCCCAGTGTCAGAAGGATGACGCAAGGATGCGGAAATACTTTGGAGGAGTAGACTACTTCTTGGATTGGATTATCTCGAAATGGGGCAAGGCAAGTATTACTATTTATCTAAATCACAGGGCAATAGAGGCTCTATAAATCAATAGAGGCTGACATTATGATATTACATATAAACTGCTGGGCAAAAGAAAATATACACTTAGAAAATTGGATTTTATCATAACATTACTGAGCTGAAAACAGTCGCCGAGACACTACAACGAATTCAAAAACACAAATATAATAGACGTTTTAAATACACTTCTATGAAATACCCATTTCTTGTTTGTTTCATTTTAGCCACCATCAAACATGGGTGTATGCTTTCTTTTACCCTGCAGTTTATAACACAGGCGTTCGTGTGTAAATGCTATCTATGTTTTTCCAGTCGTATTGCCAGATCAAAAGATTGGACCTCCAGGTACCTATCAATCGCCAGGGGAGATGTCGTTTAACTCTTTATTGTAGAGTATTGCACCTGCTGCTGCAATTTACATGTCGATGAGTTATTTAGCCACCGTTGAAATCAATTCGGGACAGAGACCGGATAGGCTGAGGTAATTCCACCCGACTACGATATCCCGAAACACCATCGACCTGATCAAAATGTTCTGTTGTGTCGGAGACACTTACAAACAACTGATCAAGTGAAACGAACCAGTCAATGCAACTGATTCATTTGACCAGGGTGCACGGGAATTCTTGGAATAATCTGAATGGGTAATTCGTTAATTGGAGTATACACACGTATTATATGGCGGTTTCAATGGCCGAAAGTCTACCTTTAAAACGCGAGAACAATAGGGTAGGGTTCAGATGAATTACCTTCCGTGACCAGAGTTATGCCTTTTGCTATGCATGTCACTGTGTATCCCATAGTCTGATGGCGCGATTTCTCCCTATTGTTTCCGTTTTCTGTTGAATTTGTGTACAAAACAAAAGACTTTCTCGGCATTTGTCCCCCGTAGACTCGAACTCCAGTACTGATATAGACTCGCGTGGTGTTAACAGATCAAAGCCCCAAGGGGGCCGACCATTTGATAGGGGGACTTTGAACAAACATATTCGGTTACGAAAATGGTGCAAATTATTGTTTCCTAAAGTTAAAAAAAACAAAAAACTCTTGCCCACTGGATATGCTGTATGTTCTGAACAATAATGTGTTTATGGTAAAAACAAATGTTTTTGACTCCTTCCAGTGAAATAAATTATGTTTTAAAAACAATGACTGAAAAAAAACATTCTTGCGCAAACAAATATACCAGTTTCTCGACATTTGCCCCAAGTAGACGAGATTCCAGTATCGGGGACGACAAGGGTCCGCGTGGCGAGAAAAGATCCACTCGCTAAACATCGACAAGCTCGGATTGGTAAAGCAATACACCTAACACTCTCACAGGACAGAAAGGGAAATGGTTTATTTAAAGCGTTTGAGTGTGTAGTGTTTACTTTCACCTGCGGATTACGTTGGTTTACAGGAGACTAATACGATGATCAGCTCGGTGGCGTTCTGCGACTGGCGCCGTTTATTATATTGCTTTAATTTAGTCAGTCAACTGCGTTCACCTACATTATGTTCAAAGTGTAAGAGCGATTAGTGTATTCCGCATATGTGCCATGGGTTGTCCCACGCCCAGAGCGAGAACAAATATTTAATTTAGTTCCGTTTGTATTTCTAATACATATTCGATTGACTAATGTCTGCTCTGTGGTGTACGTGTTCTTGTAAGCCAGGCTGGTGGTTTTGGTTACCATTGGTATAGGATTATGTTAATAGCTATAAGAAATTAGTGCATGGTATATCCTCGACGTGAAAGGTTCAGGTTTACTGTTACATATATTTTGCAAATGTAAAGATGTTATAATTGATTATGGTGTTAAAGTGATATACTACTCAAAAGAAGTTAAGGATCGCCTGAATCTTTCATATTGCTATAGTTAATCTCTCATGTCATGACAGATTAACTTTACCGTTATGAAAGAATCGGGTTATCCTTAACTTCTTTTGAGTAGTATATATTCACTATCAATATCAGTGGGGTGTCCTAGTGGTTAAAGCGTTCGCTTGTCACACCGCAGGCCCGGTTCGATTCCCCGCATGGGTATAATATATGAAGCCCCTTTTCTGGTGTCTCCTTTGGTGATATTCTTGGAATATTATATATAAAACCCATTTCTGGTGTCCCCTTCCGTGATATTGCTGGAAAATTGATAAAAGCGGCGAAAAACCTAGCTCACTAACTATCATTATCGGTGGGGTAGGTTAGTGGGAAGGCCCGGGTTCGATTCCCCTTATACGTACAATGTGTGAAGCCCATTTCTGGTGTCCCCTTCCGTGATATTGCTGGAAAATTGATAAAAGCGGCGAAAAACCTAGCTCACTAACTATCATGATCGGTGGGGTAGGTTAGAGGGAAGGCCCGGGTTCGATTCCCCTTGTGGGTACAACTTCTGAGGCCAATACCTGGTGTCCCCTTCGGCGATATTGCTGGAAAGTTGCTAAAAGCGACATAAAACCATATTCACTCACTATCAATATCGGTGGGGTAGGTTAGTGAGTAAAGCGTTCGCTCGTCACGCCGAAGGTCCGAGTTCTATTCTCCACATGGGGACAATGTTTGAATCCCATTTCTGTTGTCCCCCGCAGGAATACTGCTGACAGCGGCATAAAACCATACTCACTCACTATCAATATCAAGGATGGATAAAACAACCACCAATGCACCAGGTAACGTCTAAACGACTTTTAAGACATGGCAGGTTGAATAGTATCCTAAACCTAATACACTGAAATCGAAACACATTATAGCTGTCTCATACTATTTTGAGGTTTAAGAGGGGCATGGGTGGCCCAGCTGTCAAAGGCGCCGCGATTCGCTATGCAGAGTTACGTCCCTTGGGCGTGCCAGAAACCTATGACAGTTCGCCCGATTATGTTTCTAGATTTGTCAGCATCATACCCATGCTCATGGATTCCACCAAAGTGGTAAACGTCTATCACTTCGGGATTTCCTCCCACATGAAGCTAACACGCCGTGATGAAACTGGAATAATGTTCAAAGTGGCGGTCAAACAAACTCAAAGGTAGTAGCTATTTTCACACAGGACATTATGGAATCAGGAAACATAATCAGGACATGTGTCTCATCTGAACAACTGTAATAATGGCAGTTGTGTTTACATCAAACGTTTATTGGAACACAGTTGTACAATGAAATAGTATATCCAACCCCTTCGATAGCGTGCGTTATAACTATTTAAATACTGGATGTGATAGGCTAATTCTGTAATTATATAGTATCATATTCCCGGTAAACACCAGGCGGGGTGACCCAGGTGATATACACATATATACACAATAGCAAGGGTAACAACAGGCGCCCTTGCCGAAGACCACTTCCTGCCCCGGCCTTGTCAATACCGCGGATCTGAACACCTTATTCATAACTCCGTTGCAAAAGTCACCAACGGGAGTTAATACCCGTCAAAGCAATTTTCCTCTCGGGTGAAAAATACTTGATTGAAACAGCAGAGATTAGCGCTGTGAGTCAGTGAACCCGTTTTCCTCGCGAGACTACCGTTTATCGTGCCGTGTTTCCTTGACAGTGTAACGCACGCATACTGGTAAAAGGCTTGTATACAGCAAGTACAACGCAGGCTATTGTGTCTCCAACGCGAACTACTCACTCCGTGCGAACAACAACTGAGCTGTGGATTCCAGAAGCCTTTATCATCAGCTGGGATTATGTCTGTCTATTTTGAAATTATTGATCAGCGACTAAGTCACACGAATTGTTAAGTGGAAGTGACAGAACTTTATAGTCCGTGCCGTTAACTGTTTGTGTGTATGGAAATGGTGATGTATGTCTTCATAAGCTTCTGTTGTTATGAACAGGTGGGCATTATTGAAATTCTGCAGTTGGGGCTGGGACAGGGAGTTTCACTCACACTCCCATACATATTTCCAATAATCAAAATTGATTGGTAAACCCCTAATATCCAACCAATGCTGCTCGGTGGCGCAGTTACATATGGCTCAATGGATCAGTGTGCACTTGATATTCATTCTGAGCTCCCTGGGGAGTATACAACCAAATCTGCACGTGAGGCGCTAGAATGCAATCAGTCACATTAACAGTTTATTCTACCGGGTACCCGTTCACTGCTGGGTGAACAGGCATCTCTAACTGGCCTAAGGAGACACCATAGTGTCATCTTTGTTATACATTAGTTTTATGTTTGACGTCTTTGAACTTACTACAGGGGAGGGGGCGGTCGGGTAGCCTAGTGGTTAAAGCGTTCGCTCGTCACGCCGAAGACCCGGGTTCGATTCCCGACATGGGTACAATGTGTGAAGCCCATTTCTGGTGTCCCCCGCCGTGATATTGCTGGAATATTGCTAAAAGCGGCGTAAAACCATAACACTCACTCACTCATTACTACAGGGGAGAAACCTACATCACCTTTGCCTTTTTTTACCAATGTCTTGAGAATACAAATGAGATTGATATAGATAAACTACTCAAAGGAATATAAAGTACTCCCGATTCTTTCATACAGTTAATCTGTCACGCCATATTCGGTAATATATACAGATCGCAATGTGATTAAAGCTTATAAACGTCCTGCATCACTCCGGGCTTTCTCCCCATATCAAGTTGACACGCCGTGATATAAATATAATACTTGTCCAAACGGCGTAAAATAAAATAGGTGTCACAGCTTGACCTGTCCGTCCTTTGTTTTGTTTGTTGTTTTACGCCGCACTCAGCCATATTCCAGCTATATGAGGGCGGTCTGTAAATAATCGAGTCTGGACCAGACAATCCAGTGAATGGCTTCATGAGCATCGATCCACGCAATTGAGATACGATGACGCTTGGGGCTTCAGTCAGTAATCCTAAAGTACAAATGACTGCCACAAAGGACGGACATGTTAAGCTGTGACTCTTAATTATATAATAAAACTGTTATTGTGTGACGGCAGTGCGTTTACTGTGCTGGACACAGATACGGTTTACTTCAATGATTTAACTTTTAACGTTATATTT